AAATTGCATAAAAATTCCCCTCAGTCGTCTGGACATGACACTCCGAGCTGAACGCCGTCAGATTTCAACATGTTGAATCGTAACCAAAGACTCATCACACCTCCGACCCCGTTTCATTGACTGGACTTTGATGAATGCTGTTATTTGCTAAAACAGATTGCGTTTGTTCACTATTGTAACTCAATCATGACGATACCTGAAGACATATTTATACCTTTAGCGGGGGACAGAGACATGCTGGAGTTGAAGCTCGACATTGAGGATGAGGACGAGGACATGTTCTTCCTGTCTGTCACCCTGCTGCCCTGAAGAGACGGAGTTTTCACACCTGACCGGTTCCTCATAACACTCTGACGGAGAGACAAAACAAACATCCGTTCATGCATTAAATGTGTTTGGCAGCAGCATCTGACTCCGTCTGACAGGTGGAGCCGTTCGGTTCAGAGTGGAAATCTGGCCATGGACAGGTGTGTTACCTTGGTGGGCGGAGCCAGTGCGCGTTTACCCAGCTGACTAGAGTTGAGGGAGGAGTCGCTGATGTCAGAGGCCACGCTCGCCGAATCAGAGAGCAGATCCTCACAAGACTCCGCCCTGCTGGAGGGACGAGAGGTCAGGCTCCGCCTCCAACCCCCCACCGCCTGAAAAAAAAAAGAGAAAAAGATCAGAAATATGATGTGAACTCATTCATTCATCTATTAACACAATGGTTTCCAAACTGGGGGTCACGACCCCTGCAGTGATCATCAGATAAGGCTGAGGGGTCACAGTTGGATCAGTGGAAGGAGAAAAAAAAAAATCTGTTCTGCGGAACAAATCTGTATCCTTAGAAAAAAAATAATAATTAGGTGCCATTAAATCCAAGATCAGGTATCAATGGTGATTGATCAGATGTGACATCATTTTTGAGAGAGAGAGAGAGAGAGAGAGAGAGAGAGAGAGAGAGAGAGAGAGCTGGTCCCCTTCTCCCTTTGATCCACTCAGTCGACCTCCAACTGAATTATTCATTAACAAACTGATACCGATGTTTAAGAGTCCTTACATTTAAACATGGAAGAAAATCACTGTTAGCTTCACTGCTTCTCTAAAATACTAAACATACCATAAAAAGACGCATATTCAAAACATCCTGGTGCGGTAAAGTGCAGAGGGAAAAACAAGAACCTTGGCCCAAAGAAAGGTTCTGGAGACAGGATACATGTTGGTGAGCCTACAGGATATCAGGTGTTACCTGCTGACACCAGATGGCGCCATTGGCCCCATGATAATTTTTGGTGTTTTATAGACTGAATGTTTCACCTGTGGACTAAAAAGTAAAAAACAAACTTCGCTCCTACTTTGATTGGTGGCTGCAGTCTGGTTTTCTCCACTTTGCTCTTGGCGGCTGAACAGGAAGTTGTTGGAGCAGCTGGTTTGCTCGGCAGCACGATGCCCCCACCCAGTGTGGCTTTCCCTCGCAGCGCTGTCTTGGGCTGAGCCCTGGCGCCAGCAATGGGGCTGGAGGTGCTGAGTCTTGCAGTGGGGCGGGTGGATGAAGCTGTAGACACGGAGCGGGTGGAGGATGCTGAATTGGCAGTGGCGGGGCGGGTGGATGAAGCTTTGTTGGTGGCAGCTGGGCGTGTGGATGAAGCTGCTTTGGCGCTGCTTCCTCTCAGCAGGTGGCGCTGGACCGCGGGGGGTAGCTGCTTCATGGGACTGTCCTGCACGCAGAAGGTCTGGCGTTTGATGGGGCTGAGTGCACTGGCGGTTTGACCAAGCACATCCAGTTTGGCCTCTGCGTCCTGAACAAACTCTTCCCTGTTGGTTGTGGGGTCGGTGGTCATGGCGGTGGTCTCCTCTCCCTCGCCATGCACCTGGTTCGGCTCGCCGCTCTGCAGCTGGGTGGCTATCCTGTGGGCTTCCTGACACACAGCCTCCAGCTGATCCCCAGTCAATGGGCTCCAGCTCACCCGCACGCCACCACCGCTGTCCTTGAGCCGAGATGCCACATTAACAGAGACAGACTTCTCCTTATGGCTGACTGGACCAACGAACACCTCATCCTCGTCTTCATCACCTTTGGAGCTGCAGAGCAGAGAGAGAAGTTAGGGGACGAACAGCTAAAGATAAAACTCCCCCAAACTCAAGAAGGATGAAGAAATTAAACCTGCGGTAAATTTTTGTTAATTTTCACATCTTCCATTTTTTTACTGATATATTTGTTAACCCTCAAAAAAAGATGAGAGCATTGGATTCAGTCTTATATTTTCAATAGCAATGCATCTAATGCAGTACCAGTGGTTAACCAGCTGATGATACCACTTTCACTGTTTGAAATAGAAAAAGTTCCTTCAATAATATTGGCTTTGTAAAGAAGAATATGAACTGTTCAGGCTGAATCTCCATCATTAGTAATTCTACTGTCTTGTTCACTTTCATCAACACTTGTTGAAATGTCTTTACTGTCTTATCTTTGATCGTTCATCATCATCATCATCATCAATACTTCTGAATACAAAACTTTTTTTCTTTTTTTTTTAACCAAACAAACATGATGAGTTAGCAGAACTTTTTATCTGCCGTGAATCTGCAGGTTTTCCTCTCAGGTTGCACAAAACTCCACCAAATGATGTATTGCATCCCGATTCCATACTATACACTCATAGTACAAAAAAAAAAAATACAACATACTTTGCTGTTTTGTACAGTCAGTGATGAATTGCTGTATGTGTGCCAGCAGAGTTCAGAAAGCCACAGCCAATTAAACCCACAAAGACACAGCCAAATGCTGCACCAGAGATCTGCCCCTTGTCTCAGCTGCTGCTCCATTTTTCCGTTGTGCACACCACTCACAAATGTTCCAGTCTGCAGTGCTTCCACTATATGCACTATTTTGTATGTAGTTTTAAAACTTCATCTATTCAATTTCCTTTAATTAAGGGTGATGGTACAGCAGCAGAGAAGGTTGTTTATGAGAGAATATTAGAAAGAAAGCTCCTGAGAGAACCCTGCGTTATGTTTCTGGGTTAATACTTGCTGCGAACGTGAAACCGAGTTAAACAGAGACCGACATGTGCTTCCTACCTGGCAGGTGACAGAGAAACATCGAAGTCAAACTTCTCATCGTTCAGGAAGAACAGATCTGTTCAGAGACACAACCATGGGTCATAGAGCAGTTAACGAATCACACAAACAACAGTGTTAACGGTGTTTAAAATCTGACTCTCGGTCAGTGAATGCTAGCTTACCGCTGTTAGCCTGACAGTCCATCCCGCCGTTGGTTCTTGTCTGTAGGGCACAGGTTGATCCAGATCAGACCTACAGCGACACATTCAACCATCACATCAAAAACTAAACGAACAACCTTTTAAACGAACAGAAATTTAACATAAACACGAACTTTAACCTTCATGCTAACTTTGACGTTAGCTTGCTAGCCCGTTAATTCTCCACCCAAATCAAACGGTAACTGACATGAGCTTTAAACTGAGAATTTCAAGGCGAAGTTTGGTTCATTCGGCGGCTCGCGGGACTCCTAACAAGTCTCGGTTTAATTTAAGTTAAAGTTACAAACCTCAAGTTCCTCTGAAAACTCACAAATCTTTCTTTTTTGTTCCGCATTCAAACTGCGAGACGAACACACGTACACAAACAATTCAAATCTGCTGCGCCGCTGGTCATGTGACTCACACGACCTCGGTCATTGGTTAGAAGTTTATGACGACCAAGTGAATGGAGTTATGGGTAATGTAGTCCACAGATATACAGCCGATTTCTGTGTTTGAAACGGTTTAAATTAGATTAGATTAGATAGTTTGATGCCGATAAAATATCTTAAAACGAACTTCACATCAATAAAGAACAAATAGCAAATACAAAATAAAAAGAAATTAATAAATTAATTCATACAAAATCCTTTTTATCAATTCTTTTTTAGCCATCAAAAATAAAAAAGTTAATTATACCTATATTTAGCCTAGTTTCAGAGTTTGAGCATTAAGCGTTTAGCAAATAAAGAAAATTAACCAAATATATTCACAAAGGGAAAGAATGCATAAAGAAATAAGAAAATAAGTAAAAGAAAAACAAAATACAAAACAAGGTAGAAAGAACAGTGATTTCAGAGGATTGACATGATTTTGTAATTTTTTAGTGTAAAAATGACTTTAGTCCGGTTTGTTTATTTATTTAGCTTAGCTCTCCTTAAATTGACCACAAACTCTCCCAGCTTCGTCTCTTTGATGTTATTTGATGTTCTTTGTTTGCATGGAGGTTAGAACTTTTTTTCCTTTATTGACAATCTTTATAACAGTCAAAAAGGCACCAGTCAGATTCAGGATAAATGCAGAAACAATAGGAACAATTGAGCAAGCATTAACAAGAAGAGGAATATAGAAGAAGGAAAATGAATGAACAAATAAATACTAAGAAAACTAAGAAAATAAGCTTGATAAACAAGAATATATCTAAAATAAAAATAAAGGGGCAAAATAAGTCAGGTACAAAAGTCCAAAGATATTCATACGGATTTTGGGCTTTTTTAATATATCAGTATTTCATATATTTTTTATATAATATTATTTCATTTAAACAGAAATATTGGTGTGTTTTTTTAAGAAACAACATTTATGTATAAAGTATTTTTATTTAAAAGTATTAAATTATTATTCCCAAACTCAATTTTTTTTAGTTTAAGAAAGTTATCCAATGCTGAAAAACCTCCCAAAAGGTCCTGGTTAAATTACAATAAAAAAGAGGTGGTCTATGTCCTCAATGTTTGAATTGGAGAGAGTACAACTATTAAAATCTATATCAAATTTTTGGTGTTAAGAGGTCATTACAGGAATAAATTTCGTTGAGGTTACAACCATAGACTGTATATAAAAACAACAACTATTCTTCTAAACCCATTCTTTTCAAACACGAACCCCCGCCCGACGGTGCAACGCCGGGGAAAAAACACGCAGCCCAACGCATTTTGATGACGCCATCACCAATGAGCCACAACAAAAACAACAACAGAACTCAGCTGTTCGGCGGCTAACTAGCCGGCCTAGTTACTGAATTCTGTTCTCTACAGTTTTTAGGTGTTTCATTTGTACATGTTACTTTTTACAGTTACTAATGCATTCGGATACAAAGCAAATTTTATAAAATATTCAACGATGCGCGGCAATTAGCTGTATTATTTTAAACCCCTTTGTCTCATCTCTGCTAGCTCCTAGCAGGTTAGCATTTAAACTGAGGACGAGGGGGAGCCAGTTCGACCAAAAGGTAACAACACGACTTTTGTCGATTATAGTGTAAAACAATCACTAACTATAGGATATACAGGTTGTCTCTGAATGTGAACCTGTTCATCCGACAGAAACTGAAAGGTAACGATCAGGAAATAATAAGAGTAAAATAACGGATCTGCCAGAGCACCTCGAGTCATGTCACAAACTGACCGTGTCACACCACGAAACTGTAATTTAATGCCTCCATAACGTTGAGCACGTGAATATCACATAACGTGTAGGTTTTCTTTCAGTGGAGTATTTGTTGATGAAGTAACGTTACACCAACACCGGTTGATCAGCTTCACCTGGACTTTAAAGGGAAAGCCACCTAATTTAAGAGTTCACATATGGTACGATTACAGCTACTGAAAACAGTTGTGCTTAATCCATACGATACTAAGTTTAATTTATACACCAAGATAGAGTTTAGGTTCAAGCTGAACCACAATTCAAGTATGTTAGAGCTTAAAATACAGCCACATAAGTCAAATAGGTAGGTTTACAAGCCGAGCTGTTCAGCTGGACTAAAGTCATGTGAATGTTGATGATGTTCTCCATTCAGAGCCTAAAGGCATGTTGTATTGCCTGCTTTAAAACAGACCACATAGTGAACCACAGCAGGTCTTGTTTTTTCTGCTAGTTAACTTTGGACAACTTGAAAAAAAGAAACAAAAAAGTCATCAATGATTGATTGACTGACCTTCTATTTTTTTTTTATTTGTCTTTGGCCAAAGAATCCCAAAGAAAGTGCAATAAAAGATTAATGCAATCCACATAACAAAACACGCCATTAAAAACATATAACATGTACAACATAACACATTATTTTCTGTCTGTTTCTTTTCTTTACTTCACCAGGCCAGAAACATTTATGGCAGAACTAGACCACAAGACCAACCGGTGGAGATTCTGACCTCCACCAATGACGACCAACATCATTTCCTCATCTGTCATCATGTCACCGAGAAAAAGACCCCTGGTGCCTGTAAGCAGCCGTCGGAAAGCAACGGATGACTACTTCCCTTTCAACTTCCTGCCGGTGGAGTGCCAGCTGCATGTCTTGTCCTTTCTGAATGAGGTGGATAAATGTAGCTGTGCCTTGGTTTGCCTGAGCTGGAGCTGTCTCGTCCGCTCGTGGAAGCTGTGGCGGGTGGCTGACTATTCCCGTCGCGGTGTCTTCCATCTGGGTCAGGAGGGGCTGCTCGTTTCCAACCGCGAGTTCGAGAGGTGGAAATCCTGGGTCCACCATTACACCCACCACCTCATCTCCCGCCGGGCGAGCCTGCTCACACTGAAGGCCAGCTTTGACCTGGGGGATCGTTGCAACAAGTGGTGCGAGCTGCTGAGCCACCTGCTGGATAATGTTCACTGCAGAGACCTCAGCCACCTGGACCTCAACTGGACCTTTACTCTTCTTGAGCCGCTGGACCTCAGGGTCCACTCCAGCTCCAGCTCACACCAGGACAGCATTACCAAAATGGACCAGGTAACTTGATTTTGCTGGTTTTAGTTTCCACTGTGAATCCAGATTGAAATTAAAGCTGCAGGGTCACATGTTGGTGGCTCCTGACTTAAGCACCCAGAAGTCTTGTAAGTATTTTGACCTCTGTAAACTGCTGTAACAGTTTAGACCAAAGGATGCTAGTTAGAGTTTCCCTGTTTTATGAGTGACTACACTTCATGTGTGAGGACATGATGAGACCCAGTACGAGTGGGAGCAAAGAAGAAAAATCTGCAGATTATCGATTAATGAAAATTGGACATTCTTCTTTATTGTACATTTGATAAAACACATTTTTGATTTTTTTTTGTCTTCTTTTTAAATAACTCCATGCCAGGTACAGTTTTAGGTATCACAGGTTTTTTTTAACCTGAACCCACTGTCAACATACTGCATACAACACTTGAACAATGTCATATTATCACATGATGATCATATATTTAGTTCATTAATGGATTTGTTAATCAGCAGATATTCAACTGTTAAGTACTTCATCATGCATAAATTCCAAATTGGAGAATCTGATTAAAAGTAAAAATGAAGATGAACAATAACAACAGAAGAAATAAAATAGAATCAATGAAATCAAATCAATACATTTCAAAGCAAAGAGAACAGATAATAGAACAATTAAAACAATCACAAGCATAAAACAACAGAAGTGAGTAATTTAAAGAGAAATAAAGCACTTGAGGGGAAGGTAAAACCAGGAAAAGCTCTGAGATAAAAGTACGTTTTACTGAGTGATGGTTAAATTCCATGTAGCTGCTCTGGTTTCAGAGTCACGTGTACAGGTGTAATTAATAACATTAACGACGGCTCTGTTCCATTAAGTGTCTCAGTGAGCCATGTCAGGATGTACAGACCCAGGGCCGATATAATTAATGTGATTAATCACACCTGTGCTTTTTACGCTATCACATCCTGCTCACTGTCCTGCTGTCATGGCCGACTGGGACATGAGAACTGAACAGTGGGTACCCACGAATAGTCTGTACATTACCCGTTACCCATGTTTTAGACACTTTTAAAAACGCCCACTGAAACAATCCAATATCCTTTTAAATGTACGCTTCACATAGAATATTTTCAGCAGTTTATCTTCCCGTGAAATTCCCGTTTTATTGGGGAGAAAAGAAAAGCTGGTGATGTTCATAAAGCGGTCACCTGACCTTTTTCCAGCTTCCAAAGGGGGGCATGGCAGCAACAGTTTGGGAACCAGTGTTATGAGATGTTTTTGTGCAGACTAACATGTCACTTGTTACACAGGCAAATCTCTAACACCACATGGTTCATCTCTCTGATTTGATTTGACAGGTGACGAGTTTCCAGGAGCTGCTGACCAAACTCACCCACAGCTGCCCGCGCATCTCTAAGATGCGGCTACATTTTGACTGGTCGGACTTGTCCGTGTCGCTGCTCACCCAGTTCCAGCAGCTCAGAGTCCTTGAGCTCAAATATTTCTGGGTCTTTAAAGGAGTGACTCCCTCGACGCTGCAGACCCTAACCAAATCCCTGCCTAACCTGAAGTCTCTGACTCTACACATCCTGGTGCCACTAAGGAATCTGGGCATCTCCTACACTCTGGAGTCCCAGTCTCTGGAGTTCCTGGACGTGTCGCCCAGCCGAGGCTTAGTCTTCTCCTGCCTGAAGCTGCCGGCCCTGCGCGAGCTTCGAGCCAAGAAGATCGTCCGCGGGATCACGCTGGACCGGAGGACCAGGCTGAGGATTCAGCACCGATGGCCCTGCCTGTACCACGTCCTCCGTGAGGGCACGCCGAAGCTTCAGGCCCTTAACAATGAGAGGCTCCTCCCTACATGGCGAGAGGAGAGCTACGGGGAGCTGTCTGCTATCCTGGAACAGTCCTGTTACTGTGTTCAGCATCTGGACAGCTGGCTTTGGTAGTCAGCTGTAAATGAAGTACATCCCACATCTGGTGGTCAGTTGGTAGATTCCAGAAGAAAGCAGTATATTTCCTGTAAACACGCCATCTCTGGCCTGATCTAAGTGAACTGAACATGCACTCATAGGGACACATAGTTGCAGATAAAACTGAGACTTGAAGTCAAATCAAATGACTGCAAACTGTTTCCAAAACAGTAAGCTGCTGCTGTTAATGTGGAGACGCTTTCCTAAATGTCGACAAGACAATGATAAACAGCGTGTCTGTAATTGTTTTATTTTGTTGGTCCAATATCTCCAAAAAAAACAAAACAAAACTGATTGTACTGTGTTGTGCTGGCCTAGATTCATCGTCCGTGGTCCGTGTTATGAAAAGAAGACTAAACGACTGAGTGAGTGTAATGGCTCCTCAAAGCTGTGGAGCAATGCCTTTTAAACTTTAACTAAACCTGTTCAAAGAGAAACCTATGACAGCGTACCAGGGCTCACGGTTGAGGGGAAAAACAACAATCCAGACTAAAGGCAAAATATTTGGAGAAAAACATTTGAATTAAAGTCAGTATTGAGAAAAAAAAGTGTAATTTCAAGAAAACAAGTTATCTAAAAAGTCCTGTATCATTTTCAGAAATATGTGTGATGTAATGAGAGAAAAGAAAATGTTATAATCTGATATAAAAATCACAGGGACCGATTATTTAAATCTCAAAATATCACATTTTTATACAAAATTATCAACATTGAGTTTTTTCTTGAAATATCCTGATTTTCTTTCTAGAAATATTACAAATATATATTACAAGTTAATATTACAACTTTTCCCATCCAAAATATTCTTTTTTTCCCTTAAAAAAAATGTATGTGTATTCTTAATATATTACACTTAAACCTCAAAATATTTTGCCTTTCTTCTGTCTCTGATTCCCATGAACAACATTTTCTCAATTGTGAAAAACTGACATGTACTGTATTGTATTGATCACTATTGTTATTATTTTGGTTATTGATTGAATGCAGTTGTATTTATCCTCACACAGTCAGATGTAAAGCTGCAAAGAAACAGAGCCTTTGACTAGAAAACTGCACAAACGGCCGACGAGATCAGTCGTGAACTGATAGTACGCGACTGATCTCGTCGGCCGTTTACACATTTTAACCACGTAAATCTCAGTAACAACAGAAGAAAAAAAAATCAACAATCTGTGGCAAGTTAAAGCACAACAGTACAGGACCAAAAAGCCTCTCAGAATTGCTGGGTTCTGACCCTGGGTTTTAAATGACCTGAAAACACAAGCTGGTTCTGATTTAAATACTTGGCACCTTCAGACTGACAGTATTAATCTGGTGTAATCCCAATCAGGAACCAGGTATCATTCCAGTGCTGGACCAGTTTGCACTCGACATGTTTTTATTTCCTTGTTGATGTGTGATTTTAGATGAAATTTTAATCATGTATTTTTATTTTAAAAGCAGAGAGAGCTAATGTATCGTTTTTTTCTTTTATTTAGGTTTTAAGACATTTAACCTGCCTGTTTTAAAATGACATTTGGAAACTTTTTTTTTTGCACATTTCCATCGCTGTTATGAAAGGTTAATGTTGTTCGAATCACTGTAGCAAGCAAGTGACCAAAATCCAGCTGTTTTTGTTTGTGATCATGGATTCCAGATATATTTTACATGTATGTAAAGTTGTGACATTTTATTTCCATTCCTTCTTCTTTTTTGTTTTTTATACCAAGCCTCCACTGTTTTGCCTCTGGCTGTCGAGAAATGGAGTCCGTGCCTTTTGCAGTTTCCCTCCTAATCAGTAGAGGACCTTCTTCTCAAAGATTTGGCGAACAGGATTTCTCTCGCAACAGAAACGCGGGTGTGTTTACAGCTGCACTATAGTGAAACGCTCGCATCTTCAAACTGATGGATTCTGATCATTTCACTCCAGTTACTTGAGCTGCAGATGTGTGTCTGAGGGTATTTATTTTCTCCAGGATATATCGATGTATGTGTGAGATGTGGTTGATGTTATGAAACTTTTTGAGTGTAGCTTCACAAGATCCTTCATAAGTATAATTTTTTATAATCATTGTATTAATCGTGTGTGTGTGTGTGTGTGTGTGTGTGTGGCATCAACTCATAGTTTCTCAGAGAAACATGAATAATTTAACCGATGACAGCTCTGATCCCAGATCTCCTGCTGTCTGAGGAATAAATCCTTCCTGAAAACAACATATCACAATGTGTGAGTAGAACACCCTGACAGATGTGGTAACATCTGGTCCATAAGACTTTTTTTTTTTTTTTACATAATAAATGATTAAGGTTTTGAGTTTTCTGGAATCCAATACGGTCATTCTCTTAAGTACACAGGATGCAATGGACGCAATGCTTTTCTTTTTCATCTGCGTTTCAACACTTCACTCCATGACTGAGAGGGTGGAATTTAATTTAATATATATTTCAAATGCATGACACCAAAAAGTGTCATCGCTGCAGGTCCTAACAGACCGTTGATCAGAGATAACATGGGGCGACAGCAATGTGGCCCCTGGTTGCAGCCTCACTGTGACGATGATGATGATGCCATCTTAGTGTTTTAATGTTCTCGGGTTGATTCGATCCCCTGGACTCTCCAACAGGAACATCTGTTCTCAGTACAAATAAGCGCCACCGCACCCTGCTTAGACCCTGTTTTCCTACACGGTTGCCATTTTGCCTCTTGTGTCTCTCTGTGTTTCCTCTCCTGAGGTGAGTTCTGCGAGTGTGTGTGGTGGTCTTCATGGTGGTCATGGTTCCCTGAAGCTGGGGCTTTCCAGCCAATTCAGTGATTTCCCCAAATCACTCCATCTTCTATTCTCCTCCTCTCTCTTTTTTTCCTTCCTCCCCTCTTATCCGGCCCACTCAGCACTCCTCCCTTCATATGCTTCTCGTTTGTTGGGGAGTTTGTCAGTCTCACAGGATCTATATTTCCATTTATGTTTGGAAGAAGTCATCTGAAACCCCTGCAGCGGTTTTACCTGCTCGTGGATGACAGTCGTTGGAGTTAAAAGCGGCTGCAACCATTTCACCTATACAATCACAGGTGATGGTGCTGATGTTCCGTGTCCGGCGAGGATGTGATTGTGATGACTCGGGCAATGTGAGAAAGACTGTTGCTGATGGGTTGAAGAGTGCAGTGTGAGGAGAAAGTGTTCCTTGAGGTTTACCTAACCCCTGCATTAGTGGAGAGACCACAGTAACCACCTCCAGATGTTTGGGAGCACAATCTGACTGATTATTTACTACAAGACCAACGAACATCGCCCTCTTCACATCATAAGGTTTTACTCTTTGCTCCTTCAGCGATGCCCAAGTTAATGATTAATCTAAGTACAGACGCTTAATTGCTAAGGCCAAGCCCCGTTTATGGGAGGGAGGTTTCTTGGACGTGCACTGATCAGTCATTGCAGACCAGAGCTCAGGGACTCATCAGACTCATCTCTACCAGTCAAGCAACAGGACCTTCAGGACTGAGCAGAGGAAGCAGCCGCCATGCCGAAACAGATCCACATATCCCAGGCTATCGCCGCCACCTTTGTCGTCTTGACTGTCTCCGCCATCGCCGGCCTCGTCACCATGATCATCATGTACCAAAGTGAACTCTCTACGATGAATCCAACACCTCCTCCGACCATCCCGTCCACCACCACGGCGCCGCCGCCCGTCATGCGGCTGCCGAAGAACCTCATACCTGAGAGCTACGAGGTTGTCCTCTGGCCTCACCTCTACACCCAAATCACTGAGGTGATCAACGTCACCAGTCCCAACCAGACGATGCTCTTCACTGGAAACTCCACCGTTAACTTCCACTGTGTCCAGAGGACCAGCACCATCTACCTCCACAGCATGGACCTGAATGTTTCTGACGCCAAGGTGAAGGACAGAGACAAAAATCTGAACATCGCTGTTACCTCAATGTACTATCACGAAGACCAAAGCGACTTTCTCGTGGTGGAGTTGAACAGTGCGTTGATGGCAGAAGGAAACTACAGTTTGTTTCTGTCTTTTAATGGAGAGATATCAGAAGCTCTCGATGGGCTGTATGTGAGCTCCTATATGGAAGGTGATCCAGATGAAGAGAGGTAAGTAAAAAAACAAAACAAAAACAAATAAAAGTTTCAAGCTTTCAAGTTTCTGTGTGCAGAATTTGTAATTTGGGCATTTTTTCAAAGTATTCAGTGTAAATCTTTGTAGAAAATTGAAACACTTCTATTAAGGTTAGTCTATAGATTCATTCTTCACATAAAGTTCAAGAACATAGAGTGAGCATTAAGTTTGACATTGTCTTTTGTGAGCCACATTGGGATAATACAGTGTAGAAATATGGTTGAAATGTTGCTTGAATCTATAGTTTCTCCACTTTCCCTTACATATTCATTGCGAGATCATACGTGACTCAGCCTCTGAAATTTGGTTTAAGTAGAGTGACAGACGACACTACGACTCAGTGATATTACTAAATTTCATTTTAGGCATTTATTATCCATTTATCTACTATTTTACTCATATATTGCACTATATTTATGAACCTATAGACTTTGCTGAACCCATTTCAAGCACCAGTTTGTTTTCTCAAAATATTTGAAGAATTTCAAAAGCACTTGGGCCAAATTATCTCTTTGCTCTACGACAAAAAGGGGCCTTGTCAAAGAGCTGAGATTGTTCTGAAAATTGTGATATCAAACACTAAGGTATTATGTTACATGCAAGTGCCCAGTAAATGGTGAGTAGAAATGGAGAAAATGCCCTCAGACCTCAGAGGGTTAATTTGCGAATCTCTGATTATCAATCGACAAACCTCCAACCCTTGATTTTCTGATTTGTAATCAGTCTGAAAAATGTAATTAATTACTCAGCACATTACTCATTGCTTAACATTTCTTTTTACGAATTACTCAACAGCAACAGTAATTACTTGCATGTTTCATTACCCATCCCCAACCCAAGTTTGTGCCCTCTTAGTACACGTAGGATCGCGGTAACCATCATTTTATCTAAAAAATAATTAGCCAGTGATATTTTAAAAGCCCAGAAGGAAGTTTAAAAACACTGACTTCTGTTCTGAATCCTCAAAGACTCTTCCAACCGTCTGGATGAAAAAAGATTTGATCAGATGAAAGATTAAATCTACAATTTTGATTTTCGAATAAAAAACAAAGATGGCAGCATGCTAGCTACCTGTAGTTTATAGGTCGTAACTCGAGAGGTTAGTTAAGAATGTTTTTTATAGTACAGTGGACAGAACATTTACAGATGGTCACAAGAGTCTTCAAGGATTCAAAAATACAGTTTTGCTAATTATCTTTTAGAGAAACTGATTGTTTCTTCTGTGACTCAGACGTATGCCAACACATGAGGGGCAGAAGGATTCAGCCCAACCATTGGCTTTAAACAACTCCAAAGCCCCCTCCAAAACCTCTCATTGGATGTATTTTATCTGACCATCAAGAGCTAGCTTAGCTTCGGTAGCTGCATGCAGAAGTAACTCTCAGTGTAGCTGCAGGGTTCATAAAACCTGGTGATCCCTGCATACAGACTCACCAGTGGCTGACATTAGCAAACCGCCTCCTCTTACCTCCAGCTCCAACTGATATGAACCCTACGTCAAACTCCTGTTCAGACAAGGAACAAGAGATAACAGAAGAGACAACAAAACATGCAACAGAAGATTAGATAATACTGGCTTTTTTCTTTTTCCAAAACCAACGTTAACGTGTGAAGTTGTTGGCTGCAGTTTTGTAGTAAGATATAAAATACAAACTAAAACTAAACTTTGACCAAAACCTTTGCCTTGATTTTTTATAATACAAATCAAGACTGTGCCTCTGCGCTCTATAAAATCAGTCTAATCATTCACACATGACTAAGAGATGGCATTTCTTTCTGTTTAGACGAGCCAGAGAATGAGCCTGGTCACTGATTTTTGTGGAGCTAAAAACAGACATGAAACCAGATACAACCAAAAACATAACAATGTCTGTTTTCTTTTAAAATAAATATATTTTGAATATCAATACATATAAACAAGAAGTATGCTTAAGTAAATACATTTAGAGTAGGGAAATTAAAGCATAACAGACTACAACTTTGTTATTATAAAACTAAATGTAAAATCTTGCTTCCCGAGTCAATTTAATCTATACAAACTTGGTATTTATACAAAACATTAACTTTATTTTCAAATGTTGATATTGCCAATTAATTTCAAATTGATGGGCCAAGTACAAATCACAATTACATAGATTGTTATATGATTGTTTACATACTTCCCTCAAAACTCCTACTCTTACACTTTCACATATTATTATTTTATTATTATAAAAAAGTGTTTTTTATATTCTGTTCAAACTAATGGATTACCCTCCATATCACTCATTAACAGTAGAAAAATGTATGTCCTCTCTGACAGACTCTTATTTTATACCGTCAAAATAAAACATCAACTTGTCTCAAAACCACTTTTCTCCCATCAGCAGTAAAACAATTACACTATCTACCCAATTAACCCCATTCAATACATCAAAACTAATCAAAATATAAATAATATGTAGATTGGATTCCATAAGTCACATCAGATGTCTTCAATGGGTTGTTGTTTCTGAGCATTTTGTCTTGGCTGACACAAAAATGACCACTGCTTGTACCAAACACCCAAAGGTGCATTATTGCATCGCAACCCGACTAAAATTAGTTCTGCATGAAATTCAAATCACTTCTTCATTATTATTATTTTTTTTATCTTGAGTTCCTTTATAAGCTCCTGATGATGAAGTGCTGACTGTCTTTATTTGTATTTACAGATTCCTTGCCGCCACCAATATTGAGCCAACATTGGCCAGGAGAGTGTTTCCTTGTTTCGATGAGCCAGAAATGAAGGCTGTGTTTTATGTGACCATCATCCACAGGCAACACACAGTAGCTCTGGGAAATGCAGACATATGTAAAAAAAAATTAATAATTAAAAAAACTGTGATAATGCCAAATACAATATACAGTAACTTGTGTGCGTATGTTTATTAGGCTTCTGGCCACAGAGCAGTTAAAGATAAACAGTATGTTGGCTTTCCTTGTCTCCACTCTCTCAGACTCCACTAACAGTCACGATGGTTGGGAATACACTCGTTTTAATCCAACACCGAGGATGTCAACATACTTGTTTGCCTTCACCGTTTCAGAGTTTAAGAACTCAGTCGCCTCCGCCCATGAACGTGTGAAAATTAAGGTACGTATATTATCGTAGATTTAAGGTGAATTTCATGTAATTATTTTGGTGATTTGTAAACTTTTAATTTTCTTCTACAAACATTTAGAAATTTGATCAAAAGTTTAAAACTTGTGCTGGAGGTTTTGATATGGTTTCAAAGCCATACGAAAAATAAGGTTCAGCACCATGAACCAAAACTAGCTATTTAACCTTTCATGTGTCACATTTGCTGTTTTTTTTATTAAGCTGAAGCTAGAATTAAGAAAAAGTACAAAACAAAAATAAAGTAGGGATGATTTCATCTGTGCTTTATCTACTTTCTTCCATGATATTCTCATACAGACTTTTGCTCGTCCTGAGGCTATTAAAGCCAAACACGTCGATTACGCAGCCAACATCACTGGAAAGATCCTCACCTTCTACGAGAAACTTTTTGGAATAGATTACACACAGCAAAAGCTAGGTAAGACTTTTCTGGATATAGCTGAATGGTTGTCACCATTAAAAACGTCTTTGTTTTCTCTCTGTGGTGACAAAAACATTTACACTGGTAAAATACTCAATTTGCTCTGTTTCTCATTGTTATATCATTTCATATTATCAGAAAGTGTGTGGTACTTTATTTTGACAGTGTGCTAGTTTTCAATATAGTGCAGGGATACATTTGAACATTTTGGATAGACCAGTTTCACAAAGATATTTCAGACTGGTCTGTAGTGTTAAACCAGTCTTAATAATGCAAGTTTGACTGTTTCACAGAAGACTGACTCATTTTATGCCAAAACAAATTAGACACCTTACCCCCAGGCTAACTCAGGTCTAAGACCAATGTTACCATGCTAACAATCAGCAACTCCTCCTCTGCTGTCCTATCTAGACTGTCCAAAAACAGGGTCGCTAAGAAAAATAAACAACACTACTTTATTCTGAAGGCCAAGTTGTAGCGTTTGTTGACTGTAACTTGCCGGTAGCTTGACAATAGGCTGTATCGTTAAATCGTTAGCAGCTAGCTAACGGCTCGACCGTTAGTATACCAAAACCGCCGCCACACAGTAAAACATTTTTCTTTTGACTGCTGTCATTCAAATAACCACTAGAGACATTATCGGCCTAATGTTACCTGTGTACTCTTGGGTGTCATTGGTCTCTGTCTGTCCCTGTCTGGAGCCTGCTGGCGGGCTGCTGTCAGCCGGTGTGGGTGGGGGAGCCCCAGCCGCACCGTTGTTGACCCCGCATACTCCGCTCTCTCGTCGACCGTTTATCCCCCAAAAGAGAGGCCACTGCCCACCGTATATCTTCAGTACAATTTCTGTAGTGTCTTTAACCTTTCCCTGTGGTCCTCCTGTTTTAGGAGTTCTTCTTTTAACAGTTCTTTCTTTGCTTCCTGTACCATATTTTATATATTTTTTTGAACATCTTTGATGCTTCTGTCGACGGTGGGATTGACACTGTTTACTGTCGCTGCAATTTTTTTCCTAATCAGATTTTTCTTTTTATTGTTTCACTCTTCGCTGAATTTCCAAAGTAAAACGTCCTTGTAACTGTTGAACTCTTACTGTAGACAAACATTTTCTGCTGAACTTGACGGTTGGATCAGGATGCGGTGACTAAGTCCGCCATCTTTTTATTTGGAAAAAAGTTTTAAATTACCCAGAATTCATCATCGTCTTCTTCTTCTTTTGATTTGATTGGCGGTTGGCAAACAGCTTTCAGGTGCATTTACCCAGAATTCATTGTACCATAGACAGACCATAGAGGATGTTTGGACAGACTTAAGACAGTCAAGAACTAAACTGTTTTGTGTGCAACGGATGAATTTAGACGTCTATCTGAAGTCTGACTAAATGTTATATTTAAACCACAGTCAAAGTCTCTCTTTGTGAAACCAGCCTGTGTTTTTACAATCCGTTTAAATGTGACAGAAGTAAAAGACATAAGAGGTTTCAGCATTTTTGCCCCCAGAATTTTATCACTGGTATTGTAGAGAATGTCATTTACACCATTTATCATATCATAATTTATTAGTGTTCATCCTCAAGTTTCTCTTGTCTTGTAAAGCACTTTGTAACTGTGTTTTGAAAGGTGCTATATAAATAAAGATTATCATTATTATCATTATTATTATTATTATTTAGACATTCATACTGGGAACTAAAATAACAAAATAATGGATAAATAACATTCTTTAATAATTTGTCACTTGTCACTTCTGAGCTGTCACTGAAGCCGATATAGAGAGCTAAAGTCCTTGTAGTACTTGTAATACTGTAGTGTATATATATGGCCAACAGAGCCAGTGGTAAACTACCAGAGGGCTTGCCAAGATAAGACTGTCTGCCGGTCTCAACAAGCAGTGGGGTCCCCACATCTTTGAAAACGCTGGAGCAAATTCCCAATCATTTAATTAAACTGACCACATATTTAAAATCTAAATTTTTACTTTCTCACCTAAAAAAAACACCAAAAATTTAATAAAGGGTTTGGTCTGATGGGCACATAAAAGTGAATGTTGCTGCTTATCCAAATCAAGTTCACCACTTCGCCTAGCTTCCCCTAGATTTGTTTGTGTTTTGTGCTTTAAAGCCACCATAGTAGTAGGCCTAATTACATCATTTTCAATCAATAAGATTAGTCCTACCTCTAGCTCTGCTTCTGCCAAAGCACATTTTATATGTATGTAATTTGATCGTTTATTAATATCTGTGTTATTCCTTTAGATCAAATTGCACTGCCAGACTTAAATCCTGCAGCGATGGAAAACTGGGGGCTGATCACATACCAGGAGGGAGGCCTGCTCTATGAGGAAGGAGTGTCCTCTTTTTTACACAAGGAAGTGATCGCTACTCTCATCGCTCATGAACTCGCACATCAGGTTAGAGGAAGAAGAACTCTTTGTGTTTTTCCTGTAACAACAATAAACAATTTTTATAAGATCAATTTTATGCACCTGACGTCAATCTTTATCCAGGAGGTTTTACAGACTGAGTTTAATATATCTATATGAGGTTGGAGTATCAGCTCTGTGTTGATGATTTCTTCTCATCTTGTCGACAGTGGTTTGGAAATCTGGTGACGATGAAATGGTGGAATGAAATCTGGCTGAACGAGGGCTTCGCCACCTACATGTCCTACTTTGCAGTGGATCACGTTGAGCCTTCATTCAATGTAGTAAGTTCAGATTTACATCTTTTCACTCTGCACCCACAGAGGTGGTGGAATCCATTCCTTCTTTCTAGTTTCCTAAGTTCTTCTTTCCTGATGCAAAGCTTTTCAGCTCCTGCCACGTAACACAGGACTCATGTACCGCGTTCTTGTCTCTGTGTCTGTCTTCTTCAGAAAGACACATTTGTCTTGAGTGACCTCCACACGGCATTTGAGGAGGATGCTCTGGCCTCGTCCCATCCTCTCAACCCTCCGCCGCAAGATATCCAGACAACGTTTGAGATCATCGAGATGTTTGATCCTATAACCTACAGTAAGGTAAGAGAGTCAAATGAGTCAGGCGAAGAATGCACATCATCGCTTATGACAACAGGAATGGCGGGCAACACAGAAGCAGACATAGCCATGGATCAATATCAAAAAGTTTTGATTGCCGCCGACATGTTATAAGATTTGCGTCAAGTGCTGCCTCTAGCACCAATAGGAAGTACTACTAACTAACGTGATTGTGGGTCGTATAGCTCTTTAAATGTCTCGACCTATCAAAATAAATCCGTACCATACTTTGGCCACATGCTTGTTTTCTTCTGGCCCAGTATTCGTCTGGTTCCACGGCCCAAATCTGGCCCAAATATGGCCCACATACAGCGTGATTGTCAGATGGTATTTCCACATCTTCTGGCCTCACGCACAGAAAATCTTCCAGCTGGAAGGATACCGGAGGATAACAGCTGGAATCTGCCCAGATGTGGAAGCATATGGGCCAGACTCGGGCCGAGGACCAAGTCATATGTTGGGACAAAAGTTTCACTGTGCTATCCGGGAATACTCTCTCCTCATCTAGTGCACACACCCGAGAGACAGTAACAGAGACAGCAAGAAGTGAGGAGAAGGAAGTCGAGCTACTACGTGAAGCGAGAAACTACAAAATAAAAGCCTTTTCTGTAGTCCTCTTTCAGCCTCGCCACCCCTGAAAAAACTCTTTTTTTGGTGGCTATTTTTATTTTGGCCTTTAGTTGCAGGTCACCTGCATCTGTGTACCATGAATACTGATATTCATGTGTATTTGCTGTTTTCTCTATAGGGGGCAATTGTGCTGAGAATGCTGGCAGACGTCGTGGATGAGAGAGTTTTCAACAAAGGGATCAGGGTAAGCAAAAACTTTTCATCCCATTTCGGATTGGCTGTAATCTTTACAAACTGACCTGTGGAGGAAATGATTCAGAAACGCTCCTCTACCAGAATAAAAGCTGTACAAAAGGTCGCTTCAAACATTGCTGATACTGTCAGGAACATGTGCACACAGAGAGAGCAGAGAGGATCCCTCCATGTGCACATGTTTCCAGGTCATCAGACACAAGAGCTGTCAAAATGTCAATGAAGATGTTAAGTTACAACAAAAAGAAAAAGTTAGAAACTAAGAAAATAAATCCTCCACATTTATCCCAATGTCCTGGCTGACCACAGAAGAAACAGCTGTCATCCTCTTGTCTAGCCAAAGTTCCTCTACCTCTGTTTCAAACCTACAATTCCTCTATGCTTCAACCCACATTTGGCATTTGTGTATATACAGTATATGACAGTCCTCCTTCTTTGACTCCAGCTCCAGTTGTTCCATGTTTCAGCAGAGTCAACACCGAAATAGAACCTGAACACTGTCCCAGACACTCAAGACTAAAGGTGGCCTCTGACTCCACATTTACATAAAAAGAAAAACGCACTAGTGATGGATTTGATTGTCTGTTAGTCTAGACTTCAGACTGAGAGGCACCTTCATCATGCCAGGCGAGGTTGTTTTTGTGAGAAGATGCACCCTTTTTGATAATTCTGTGACTCACCATAAAGTATGACATGAGTTACAACATGGGCGGGGAACCAAACTACCACACCAAAGTTTTCTAAATTGATGCTTTAATTATTTTGTGGAAGGAAAAAAAAAAGGAAAAGAAAAACATCTGCCTCATAAATCACACAAACCTTCTGTAATATTGTGTATTCCTGGTTCACTTCTGCAAAACCAAAAGATTTACTGAAGTCAAGAAGAAAAAAAAAGAAAAAGAAAAGCAAACCACATGCAAACCAACAGTGAAGGGTTTCACTTCGCCTTTGGAGACTCACAACTGACAGTGCCACATGGACATGTTTTGAGGTGGATGGAAAGGAGCTGATTTCGGTTGGTACGCTCAGTCTTATGTTGCAACGGTGGCATCAGAACCAAAGAAAGTGTCGCTACCGGCTAGTTCAGGGAAAGCTGTTGTGATTGAGTAGCACCGGCATGTTCCTGGCTTGTTGCTGTGTTTGTCGCCAGCTACAGTAGATTACCAACTAGTCCTGTGAGTCCTCCCCAAGTCATTAAGCCTATGGCACTGCCGAACTCGCAAAGACAAGTGTAGGTTTGATACGTTTGAGTGTGGTGAGCGAGTCTTTAGTGTTCAGACAGAATCCCTTGCGTTATTCGTGCAAAATTTACCCATTGGACTGAACTCACTGCTAATGCAACAAAAGCTCTCTCTCTCTCAGTTTGTAGTGGCGCTGGAGTCGGTTACATAAGTTTATTTGCACATCAATAAACAAAATTTCCATCATATATCCAAATCCGATCTGTTGACAATAACATTGTATTACTGTTTCTCTGAAGTGAAACATTCCAACATCTGGTTTTTGTCTGTTGCAGTGGGAAAAGGAGGTTTGAAATCTACAATATTTTTATCTACTTGTACTTCCTGCTGGATCAAACTAAATCAATGAGGGTGTTGTATGTTCCCTGTGGGATGGAGCAGACAGTTAGAGTGATCCGAAACTCCTCTGGAGACCTGCAACACCTGCTCAATCGTTTCTATTCGAGCGCGTGTGTGTGTGTGTGTGTGTGTGTGTGTGTGTGTGTGTGTTTGTGTCCAGAAAAATTAAATAACGCCTGTTTTCAGCAAAACATTTATTTCAACATTACATCCTCTTGCGCTCTGCTGCTGGCAGCTGTGTTTGGAGATCTCCATCCAGTTCTCAACATCGATTCTGAATACAAAATTTCCTCTGGTAAAATAATTGTTTTGACTGCAGGATGAAATTGTGTTAACTAAAAGCTCTCTCTCTCTTTCTCCACTCTCTGTTTTTATGTTTTAGATGTACCTCCGGGACTTTAGCTTCAAAAACACTGACGAGAGCAATCTCTGGGATTATATACAAAAGGTCAGGCATTAGATTTAGTGGGAAGTTTTTGTTACTGGTTTTCAGCATGTCCCGTTTTGTAACAATTATTATGATAATACTCATTTACTGTCTGAATAATCATAGATTAGACTACAGTATTTATGTGGCATAATATTTCCTGACCTGTAGGCTGTAACTGAGGATGGCGGTCACACCGAGGTTGCCAAAGTGATGGACACCTGGACCAATCAAATTGGTTATCCTGTCATCACCATCAACACGACCAATGGGGAGATCTACCAGAAGCGCTTCCTCTTCAATGACACTTCTGAATCCAGGTTTGTGCTAAAGTGCCAATAGACGCTCAGCTGTAGGTTTAGATATGTATTTAATATGTTGTAATTACACTAACACTTACTTTCCAGATGAGAAAATCATCAACCAGTGTCTTTACTTTCTCTAAAATGTTAAATATTAATGAAAGAGGTGAAAAAAGAAGCTTTTATACAGTGAGCAATGCAAAGGTTCATGGGTATTTGGGGTGTTTATTGACTTTAAAAAAACGCATCTGATACAATACGCCATGATATATTACTCTGCAAATTAGAGTCACATGGTGTGAGAGGATCGTTTGTACAGGTGTAACATGAGTGGTTTGGATCACTTTTGATAAAAGAGACAGCCGGATCGAGCCGGATTAACTTCACTCGTCCACTTCACAACAACAACACTTCCTGTTTCTAAGTCACATGTCACTAAACTAGCCAGTCAGAGGTCAGGAGGACTTAGACTGAGGTAAATCAGAGAGAAACTAGAGAGACTAGGTTACTGTAACTGTTTTTAAAGATGCACATGTACGTATTTAAACTTGTAAATAATTGTATAAACATAAATATGGCTTATTGTTTTGGTTTATAAACCCAGGGTGTATTACCCGCCAAGCACCAAACAGCAGAGACAAAATTAGAGACTAGCTGGTGAATGTGGTGGAGACTTGAGCAACTGAAGCAACAGATATTGTCACTCTCTCTCACGTGTATAATTGTTGACGAATACAAACCCAAAATGTGAAAAATGGCTACGACTTCCTCCTTCGTTGGGGTTTTACATCTTTAACAGGAACATATTTGCATTCAGGCCAGGATTAGAGAAGATTGTTTACCTTCACTCCAGTATCTCTCCAAAGGCCAAAGTTGAATCATAAATCTGTCCTCCAGTGACATCTTCACTTTACTATGTCCAACTCCTTCCCAGAATAGTTTTCACATAATAATTAAATAGTCGATTTCTTCTGTCTGTTTTCAGTTGGCAAAATGCAGTGTGTCATTACATCAGCGCCAGCTTGTTAACCAAGTACTTTTCTGCCAGGCCTGCATGAAATCATTGCAGTTGGCTATATAGAGTATTCTGAAGCAATGCTTTGTAACTATGAGCTCCATAACACTGCCACGGTGAGTTGCATAATAATTTAACTCACTGTGACCTGGTTCAAAGTTGCTTTCGGCCCCTTGCAGACCACAACAGCTCAGTACCTTTATTACCTTATACTAAAAATGCTTCTCTCTAGATTGTTGTTTCGGCTGTTCACTGTTCACTGTATAAAAGCTTAATTATCATTTCTTTCCATTAGCATCCTGGGCCTGTCATCACATTTAACTGTTATACCTTGTTCTCTGTTTTCTCTGTCTATTTAGTCTTTGGTGGGAGGTCCCGATCAGAGTCATGTCCAATACAACTGGAACTCAATTGGCCTGGTTAAGGACCCCCGGCCCAGGTAACAGAATACACCACAGATCATTGGAATAAACCCCTTGAGCCAGACGCACTAAGGGTTTTAAAGGAGGATGATTGTTTATTCTGCCAGATTTACTAAGATCACACTATTTGCGACAGTCACTTTTCGCCTCTGAAAAGGAGACGTAAACACAGAGAAGAAAAACAAACGTAGAAGCAAAAACAAAGCCAAAATCGCAATGCCACTTCTTAGTCCATGTTGTTCTTTCTCCAAACACTCAATTTTTAACAACTTTGGTTTCATATTTGACAAAAAAAAAAGTTTAATCCAACTCACAGAGGTCTAGATAGAAAAACTCTTTGACAATGTTGATTTTTGGACATGCATGTAAAGGTAGTTGTGACTGGGTACAAGTCGGTTGGAGGTGTTTGTTCATTTTTCATCGATTTGTGTTTTGCACAAAAGTTCAGTGTTACTTACCTTCAACCAAATCATGATGTGTGTTTTGAACAGAAATAATGGACAAATTCCTCTCAAAGCACGGAGGGTGGATCCTGGCAAACGTCAACTGCACTGGATACTACAGAGTCAATTACAACCCGGAGAACTGGGACGCACTCCTGACTCAGCTGGAAACAAACCCACATGTGAGCATCGAGCCAAACAATGAGTTAGCAAATCACAGAACTGAGCAGAAAACCAATCTCCATCTAGATACTCTTCATTTTACGAGATGCTTTTTTACAAGGAAGTAAAATTACAACAAGATGCCCGCAGAAGGCTTTGCCCTGAAATCTTTAGAGAACGGTGGATTAAATGAAATCTTGGCTCATTAATCCAAAGTTAAGAAAATTGTTAACACACTTCTCTGGGTGTTCAGTTTGTCATAGTTGACTGATTCCTAGACAATACTGACAGATACGGTGGCGAGCCGAATGAGTGAAGTCTGAGTGAAATAAATTTACAGTCATTCAGGTGGATTAGAGGCGGCCAGGAATCCATAAACACAGATATTAGAAAAATAAACATGAGGGGAAATTAAAGAACTCAACTGAAAATCCAACACAGGAAGTAAATCCACAGAGAACATGAGGACACACAGACAAACTGACAAGGAGTGAGGGGAACAGGTAACGAGACACAGGTGAAACACATTAGGGAACAGCGGGTAATCACAAAGATACTTGGGCAGGAAGCAGAAACAACCAACAGACACAAGGAAAGTAATTTCAAAATAAAGGTGAGTCCAGAAAGTGAGTGAAAGGGTAGATCATGATGAAACTAGACTGTGGATAAACCTTTCATTGGTAATGTTTTCAGCAAGGTTCACACAGTCATTTCGGACAGTTTGTGCATTATTCTGAATATTGAATTACCTCTGTATGAGAGGAAGAAAAAAAAAATGGCAGCTGAATAATGTGACTGAAGGAAACCAGACGGCTCACAACTGGACCTGACTCCAGAATGAAACTCAGGGGGAAAATAAATGTTTTGACAAGTGAAAAGGTTCAAAAGTTGGTTGGAAATTAATTTTGACTTCATCATGCACTAGAGGGATTTTAATCAATCCAAAATGTGTACATGCAGTTCTTGAAGCTGGCCCCATTCAGAAAATATGATTTTCTATCCTAACAAAACAACTATGATCTGTTTGCTAATTTGGTACTTTGAATTACAGTAATTATGTCCATTACTTTGAGTATAGATCCTCATTAAAGGACTGGAGTACTTTCATTTTAAAAATACTTAAGTATTCAAACGTCTTTTTTGAAGTTCGGACGTGACAGGTTCAAACATGAATGACAGTGTAGGAGTTGACTGTGATAGTTTTTTCTCCTATGATGGAAACAGCACATGGTCTATCACATTTTCAAAATAAAAGGAAATTCCTTCCGCTGACTAAAAGCTCTGATTCAAAGTAAGAGTACTTCATAGAAATATAAAAATAATACTCTTGAAAGTTCCTAAGTAAAAGTTTGTTACTGTCCAGCCCTGCAGTGATTTGTGGTCCCGAGATGATGAATCCAAATGACTTTGCTGATCCCCTGACTTTTCCTCGAGTGCAACCAGCGGTTCAAAGGTCATTACATTGAGCCATTAGTGAGATTTTATGTCCTCGTCACTCAAGTTATTTAAGTTCATCCTGTAAGGAACGCAAATGCCTGTGCCAGATTTCACAAAACTGTCTTTAATAGTTTGAACGTGAGTCAGGACAAGTCGTTAGGATTCATCGTCTGGGGACCGACAATGTCTGAGCAAAACTTTACGACTTGCTGGTGGAAGGTCAGGGGATCAATAAAGTCGTTACGAATCCTCTTCTCGGGGGCACGTATGGCTTTATAAAAATTAAAGGCAATCCATCAAATAGCTGTTGAGATATTTCTCTTCTGGACTGAAGTGACGAGCCAGCTTAATGACAGTTATTGACATTCCTGGAGTGATGGCGTTAGAAATAAAAAAGCCTCTTGATCATTGGATTATATAGCAGCTTGAAACAGAAACTGCCTTCACAGAGACAAAGCTTAAACTCTACTCAAGGTTTTGGGTTGTTTTCTGACTTTAAAAACTTGTAGATTTAATGCAATAATCAATAGATAATTATTTGGTTGTCTCTGACGTCATTCTCTTTCACTCACCTTGCTCTTTTTTTTCCCAGCGGATCCCACTGATGAACAGAGGGCAGCTGGTTGATGACGCATTTAACTTGGCAAGGTGACTACTGGATTATTTTGACCTGCACTTTCAGTATACATCCAGGTTTTGTTTCTGTCTCTTCTGAAACCTGCTTTTGTGCCTAAAATGTGTTTTTGGTGCTGTTCTACTTGCTGCACTTTGCCAGAAATGCTGTTTGCTGGACAAATACAAACATAACTATGACATGAAGAAGAAATTAGACAGTTGACAACAATATTTCCCACCAATCAGGCACTTGTGCTGGTGCACTGGCTGCACTGTCTATGTTCATGCCACAGGAGTCACCTCAATTTTAAAAATCTGATTTTATTAAAAATCAAATCTCTCTTTTCCTCAGGGCCAAACTTCTCAACGTGGCTCTGGCTCTGAATTCAACCCGCTTCCTTCGCAGTGAGAAAGCGTACCTTCCCTGGGAGTCAGCTGTTAGAAACCTCAAGTACTTTGTCCTCATGTTTGACCGTACTGAGGTGTATGGACCCATGCAGGCATGTGTCATGATATTCAAAATGAAAAATGTATCTTGCAATATTACATTACTATAGAGGGTGGATGTAATAAAGCTGTCTCCTCCTGCAGGCGTACCTCCGGGAACAGGTTAGGGAACTGTACGGCTTCTTCAAGAACTACACAGAGCATTCACAAGTCCCAGAGGACCACTCTTTACAGTAAGGGAATATGAATTTTACAGGGGGTTTTTCAGGGTTAGGTGGCAAAAAAAGCCAAACAAAAACAACACAAACAAACACGTAATGCAGCTTTAAGCAACCCATAATTATCTTGTCTCCTCAAATGATGCAATATTTCATTCATTACATCCAAAATAATAGTGAAATTACTGTGCTTCATCCCAAGGCACAACCAGATCATCGCCATAGAGGTGGCATGTTCCAATGGACTCCCAGAATGCGTGATGATGGTGCAACAGATGTTTGCTCACTGGATGAACAACACCAACATGTATGAACACTACTGTGGAAGTATATAATTTGAAATTTGATTGTGACACTGTCTTTCTAATTCACACCTTCTTTAAATTACCCTTAACTTACATGATTGTCTTGTAAATTACTGGTTTATAAAACGTTGTCTAATTGTGATAGTTTTCGTTATATTCTGTAGCTTTACTTTCCAGCAGTGATTTAGTAAAGGTAGGTGTCATTTAATCACTTTTTGTATGTTTATGTGTTTATGGCTGTTGCATTGTGGGTAAATTTAAAGCTGCACTTGGCAGGATTTTTTTTTGCCAACATGCACTCTATAATCGTAAATCACAAAGTGGTGAAACCATGAATGACGTGAGAATAATGAAACAAACAGTAACTCAGTAACATTTCCAAGTGCAACTTTAAATGACAGAGACACTCCCCTTTCTTTGAACATGTATATTGTTTATGCCCATTACTTTAACACACATGCATCTATGTACATGCATGAAAATGTAATGTAATGCATTTGCACTTGCCAGCATTTGTATGTGGATGTGTATATGCTGTGTTTACATGTGCAACTCGAGGAATCCTCATCTGAGTTGAGGGTGTAAGGATGGCTGGTGACTTGACTTGACAGTGTGTTGTATTAAAGGAGCTATTTGTATAGCTATTGCTACATAGCTAGCATTAGCATTAACAGCTGTTTACTTATGAGTCTAGAAGAAATGTCGCAAGTTAAGCATCAAATTTAATTTCTTTATTCGCCATGAGCTGTCTCCAGCAGTGGAAAGCAACACCAATGTTAGCTCTCATCTCTATGACGTCTTTTCTTTTACTGAAGTCAGCATGCTAACCAGCTAGCCCCGGCCTGTCTTGTCTTTTTACAATTGCAGCTTACTGTAGCCTGTAACACAACGATGGCCGAAGCTCTTGTCAAGTGACAATCACCACCAGCCGCTCCTGGAAAGAAACCACATTTAACTGCAGAGAAAATTTAGAAATAGCTTCTTTAAAAAACCATGATGGGTTTTCCAGTTGTACAAATTATGTGGATTTTAGTTTTGCTAATGGAGAAATTTTGTCAAAATAGTGTCAACATCCCTTTAAATGTTTGTAAAAGTGGAAGAAACTACATCAAAGTAGATGTAGAACATGGTCAGGAAAAGGTCAAGTCAACAGTCCAGTAAAACCAAGAAAACATGAAAATGAGACAGTGTGTGTGTGTGTGTGTGTGTGTGTGTGTGTGTTGTGTGTGTGTGTGTGTGTGTGTGTGTATGTGTGTATGATCCAGAATCCACCCCAACCTGCGGTCTGTCATCTACTGTCAAGCTGTGGCTTATGGTGGGAAGGCAGAGTGGGAGTTTGCCTGGAAGAAGTATCAGAGTTCGAGCGACATCTCAGAGAAAGAGCAGCTCCGCAAAGCTCTGTCCTGCACCAAGACGATCTGGCTGCTCAACAGGTGACGCCAAAAAACAAACTTGAACACATGTACATAACAACTCCTTTCATTACGGACACACACGTGATAAGATGAATCCCAACTACATGGTTTTCAGTGTCTTCCTTATCCTGCAGATACCTGGAGTACACCTTGGACCCTGAGAAGATACGTCTGATGGATGTTGCTTCCACTATAAACTACATAAGTGAGAACGTGGCGGGGCAGGCGCTGGCCTGGAACTTTGTCAGAGGACACTGGGAATATGTCAGTCAGGGGTAAGGTTGATGTTTGGGCTTTACAGATTATTATATCTCGTTTTTCTGAAACAAGTATCTGAGATTGTGTAGTTGAGTTTGAGCAGAATAGACTTGAAATGGAAGACATGATGCTCGTATTTTGGTCCGAGGCTGATGATGGGCAGTGTTTTTCTAATTGTTGCTAATTGTTTGCATCACATATGGTCATTTGATCAACTGTTGATGTAAATAATATGGATTAGTGCAGCTTTAATCCAGCAGTTGAACTTTTGCATGCTTGTTTGTCTTTGAATCCAGAGTGAGATGAGACCAATACATCTTAAAGCTGCACTATTAATATTTTTTATGTCAACAATAGGATCATATGACTATACAGTGGAGTTCAAGAAAGTGGTTTCTATTGTTATGTGAAAAGTAACAAACCCACAAAGAAATATCTCCTGACTTTGCAGCCCCCTTCAGTTCTAGAGACTTTTAATCTGCAAATTTGCTGTTCAGCCCCATTTCCTGCACAAAAGTTTAAAAAAAAAACCCCAACTTCAGGCATGTAGCCAGATAAAAACAATTTGCTCAGGAGTTGGTGGAAACAGACCTAAAAAGAGAGTGAATATTGGACTTGCATTTGTGATTGATTCCATCAGGTGGACAGAAATCGTACTCACAGTCTCTGCTGAATGTATGAATAATCAATTCTTTGACATAAGGTGTTAATACACCAATAAAAACCTAGTTTACCAGTAACTGGTTTTAATGTTGTGGCTGTGGCTGACCCCCAAAAAAAAAACAATCAATTATGCAGCTTTAAATCTCTGTGGGTCTAGCACAGATATCAGGGTTGTTCTGTGCAATGGCAACAGAGTCTTGGCAGTATTGATTACACAGCCACATGATAAAACACTGATTACACAGCCACATGATAAAAGGCGATAATGGCTGCAAATATGGTAGCAATCTTCATAAAGCAGCAGTGTGCAGAGCTATAGTGTGGTGATTGTTAAATATTGGTGTAGTCAGGAGACAGCACTCTTGTTGTTAGTGTTTTCTTTACGGATATGCTGCCGCTCGCTGCTTCATCACAGACATCAGAAGAGCGTTGTTGTTTACAGAGGCCTCTCGACACTGAAGAGACCCGGGCGCGGTCAAGTCATTTCAATAAACAAGCAAGACCATAAAGGAAAAGACTACAATAACGAATGTGTCATCAAGCACAAAGGTCGTCTTGTTTAATCTGTGCTTATCATTAGCGCTCCTTCATAAAGTCCCCACTGTTTGCGCTGTCACCGGGAAGCTTAACTGATCGGTATCAGAGTTTAAATATACAAAACCGACTGGGTTTCATTTCGTGAGCAAACAGTGACACCTGAGATTGATCTGAATCAAGTAACCAGCAGGGATTGAAGGCTTGTTCAGTATGAATCAAAATATATCCCAATTCATGCTAGATTACATCTTATAGGTTATAATGTTGAGTTTTTGTTGAAATTGTTTTTAGAGAGGTGTTTATTTAACTATAAACCAACAAACTGTATTGCCTCATACTGAAAGGTGTTCCTAATATTTTGCTTAATATTTTTCTTCCTCCGCTGACAGGGATGCAGCCATGGTGATTGAGGGAGTGACCAGCAGGTTCTCGACACAGTTTGAACTAGAGGAGGTAATCACATCATGTTTTTATTGTGTTAATTGTGTTGTGTCATGATAAAACCAGCGTGCAATGACGTCAAACAGATGATGTCCTGCCAGTCACGCACCAGTTATCGATTGAACACCAAATGACTAACCAGATACACCCTGATATCTTATCACAAGTCTTTCTGTCATCAGGTTTTATTAATGTTAAGTGTGTTTTATTGTTTTTGTTTTTTTTAACCTCTGAGCCATAAACTCAGAAATACACTACATACACATTTCTTATTTAAAGGAGCGATTTAGAAGTTTTGCTGTTGCTACATAGCTAACGTTAGCATTAGCAGCTGTTTACTGAACGGTCTAGAAGAAACATTGTGAGTTTAGTATCAGACTTCCTTCCTTTACTCTCCAGTGGTGGAAAGCAACGCCGACGTTAGCTCTCGTCTCTATCACGTCTTTTCTTCTACTGAATTTAGCATGCTAACCAGCTAGCCCAATCCGTCTTCTGATAGCAACTCGCTGTAGCCTCCAATCTGCCCAGAACACGTAGCACTGCTCAGAGGGCGTATAGTAAAACTTGCAAATACACTTTTTAAAATGATGAGGGTGGTTATATTCTATATTTTCTATATTTTTATTCTATCATTTTTATACAGCCAAAACCAGAGACATATTGTTTTCAGGTTCTCGGGTTGTCCGTACATACAAATATCCGTCTGTCCCGTTCTCATTGGCACGATATCTCAGTAACTTCTTCAAATTTGGTTCAAACATTCACTAATTGTTGTCCAGACGGTATTCAAAACTCATCAATCAGTCACGCCCTTTTGTTCAATCCACAGTTTTTTGCAAATGTTTCTCAACCAGGAGTAAACTGTACATTATTCAGTCGTGGGGTTAAAACAAGTTCGGTGTGAGTGTTACCTTCAGCAGGATGGTTTATGTGAGTCAAAATGAGCTACAGTGTGTGTGTTGATGGTAATGGAGGATCATGTCCCAGTGCACGGGTGTGGCTCCCTGATGTGTTTTTAATAGCATTTTGGACAACAAGCAAGTCAACGACAAAGAGGAATAAGCAATAATCAGAGTAATCAGGGCTTTGGCAACACAGGCAATACTTGGGAGAATAATTGATTAATTCTGGTTTTGGTCTTTCATGTGCATCTGTTGTAGAGTACAGGCCTATAGTAATATATTTGAATTGGGTTTATATTTTCTCTTAATTATGAGAAAACGATCTCATTATTACAAGATCAGGCTTGTTTTTTCTTCTTTAGTGAATGCAATGTGTTTTTATAGCAATGCCCTAACATCGCTGTCTCATCTGTTTGTGTTTTGCAGCTGGAGCGGTTTGCCACTGACTATGCTCTGGGTTCTGCTACCAGGGCGGTGTACCGGGCCATAGAGCAAACCCAAGTCAACATCGAGTGGGTCGGCGAGAACAAAGACGTTATACTAGAGTGGTTTGAAAGACAATTGTCTTCGTAGAGTGAAAAAAAAAAAAAAGAAACGTGGATGTTCCTCCTTCTCTCGATCCACAGAACAAGAACTGATCATGATTAATTTTCTGGTCTATTTTTGGCAGGAAAATGAACTGGAAAAATAATCCATGAAACGAGAGATTCATTTCCAGCAAAAACTGATATATGTGGAGAAATGTGGCAGTAAAAACAAAGCAGTGTTTATGTACAGCATACACGCATATACATTATTTATACAGTATATTCAATGAAAATGGGCAAAGTAACAAGATTTTTACTCCTCTGTTTGTGATTTTGCACATGATGCTGATACAGCATCAATTTTATAATCAAAGTTTGAACTGCTTACAGTGGAAAAATGGATTGAAGCTTCCATTTGATAAATTAAGTTCATGGCAAATATGAATTTGGTGGAAAAACAGCTCAAATTTGATGCTGCTACTTTCCTGACCAGTCAAAACCCAAGGACATAACCTCATCTGTTTGTTTTAGTAAACATGTCAATATGTGTATTATATATGTTTTAATCAATGAACCAAATTATTCTTGTACGTCGCTGAAATTGTTATTTTTAATAATAAAACATCAACATCATGTTAAACATGAGCCCTTTCATCCATTACCTCAGTTTGTTTCACCTGGAGGAAACTGTGCGTGTTGTGTTTGATAACAAGATGATTATCATCATGATGATGGGGAACAGTATCGTTCAGGTCACCACTGGAATAACTTTGAGGTGTGTTTGGGCGTCATCATCAGTTATGATCAGGACAGGATGTATGCAGGACTCTGAGGCACAATCCCAGTTTGACATTAGAATTAAATCATGCTGAAGCAGATGCCCCAGCCTTTATTTGTGTTTGTTGTTGTGAGGGAATGTCGTCTGGGGAGATTAGATAGTGACACCCAATCAGTGATTACACCACTTAACGATCTAAAGCCTCATTCAGACTGAATTAATATTCCAGGGAAACACAGGGGTGATAAATATGTATTTTACGTCATTATTCCAGGTGCTATTTTAACTACTGCAGAGTTAAAAAATGTTTTATTTAAATAGATTAATACGGTGAGGGGGCTTTGTCACTTCCTTTCTTATAAAATGTTCTTATTTAACAACATAAAAACAACATAAAATTATAATTTGCACATTTCATTGTGATTTTAAATGAACAGAAATAACTCTTTCTGAATAAGAGGTGATAGATATACTGTAGGTGTTTAATATATATCTCCCACTGCCTTCAAATCAGTAACAGGAAAGTTAGCCTGCCCTGGATGCAATATTAAAGTCAGTAAAGAGAATTTAATTCCATCTGCGTGTAGTTTATGTAACATTTTTTTTTATGGTTGTATTGTGGTACAGTCCATGTGGACACAAACAGGCAAGAGTAGTTCCAGTCATATAAATGTTGGAATTTAATCCAAAGCATATAAGAAAAGGGTGAAGCTTCAAAGACACAGTCGCAGCTAACAGCCGGATACACTGTGGAGCTGGAAAGATCTAGTCCCATATTGTTGAAGTGATGCAAGGTTTCAAGCCCCAAGGCCACATATGTAAGAGGTTCAATACCCCGGTGGAACGTGGGAGTCCGATCCAAGGACGGAGAGACAGGAATGGAGCCAAGTTGAAGGAGTTCAACCTCGAGGCTGGAACGGGGCCATGACTTCAGGCTGATGGAGAGATGGTTTCCTCACTCATCCTGAGAGAGAAACAAGGAGGGAGAAGTGAGGCTTCTCTGGTTTCTCTGTGTCTAACACATCACCTTCATATTGTATATATCCTGAAGCAGCTTCACTTCATCTTCACATCAAACATCAAATGACCCTGACGTGACTGTTGGTGCCAGACAAGCTGGTTTGAGTATTTCTGAAAATGCTGACAACAGTCTCCAGAGTTTTTACTCAAGAAAAAGAGAAAACATCCAGTGAGCAGCAGCTCTGAGGACGACAACCAGATCAGATAACCACCCTTTACAACCGTGGTGAGCCGGGAAGCTTCTCAGAATGAACAACATATCCAGTCTTGTGGTGGATGAGCTGTAACAGCAGGGGGTTTCAATTCCTGTCAGCCATAAACAGAAATCTGAGGCTGCAGTGGAAACAGGACACAGGAACAGAGCCTGGTCTGAAGGATGCAGCAGGTAGTAAGAGTCAGCAGCAGCAGCATAATCCAACCTGCCTTGTCTCAACAGTCCAGGCTGCTGCTGCTGCTGCTGCTGCAGCTGCAGCTGCTGGTGGTTTCATTAATGCCATGCAATCATGGTCTTAAAATTCCACATCGTGCTGATCATGTGCATCCCTTCACGGCCACAGTTCCTCATCTTCTAATATCTGCTTCCGGCGGGATAATGATCCATGTCACAAAGTAAAAGTCGCCTCAAACTGGTTTCATGAACGTGACGGTGACATGTGAAGCTGACAAATCTGCAGAGATGATGTGATGCAGTCATGTCAACATGGAGAGAGAGTCTCAGAGGAAAGATTCCAACATCTTGTGAAATCTATGATCAATTGAGGCTGTTTTGAGAGCACAGGGAGGAAGTACCCAGGAATAGCATGTTGTTCCTATTAAAGTGCTCAGTGAAAATTTCAGACCACCTCCATTTTTCCAGCTGTCATTTAAATTTACATAATTCAAATCTCTCATTGTTTCTTAATTTAAAGCATAGAAGAAAAAAACAATTGAAGATTTTTAAAAACTGGAAAAATCATGAAATCTTCTTATTGAGCTAAATTTAATCTGAAAGTCTGACTTATTCAGCAGCTGAACAAACTTGTGATGTTCCTTTTACAATGGAAATGAAACACTGTTCAGAAAGCACTTGTGGTTTGCTTTGCTTTCACCCTCTGTCCAGTTCATCCCAAACCAGCTCCATGTCTGGAGACTGTGCTGCTCTTCCATCATGTGAAGCCTCCGCCTGCCTGGTTCTGTTCCTCTAATGTTTTTGGCTCATTATCTTGCTGAAGGCTGAACCTCTGACCAACCAGCCTGTCTTCTTTTGTTATTTAACTTTGCCTCACCGCTCTGAGAGCAACATACAGTGCTACTTCCTGCACTAAAGTACTGTCCTAATGATGCATCAGACGGTATGGTGACAGGTTTTGTACAAAGGGTTTGTAAGTCATCAACTTGTAGGAATCGTTTGCATCAATGTTCAAGGCTTCGTTTACTTCAATTGCTGGAGGAAAACTGTAAATTAACTATTCTCAATCCTTGAAAAAGGCCTGTTTATCATGATATTTTTACCTCGGGCAGTTTACCACTTACCTTTACCCAATTTAAGGTTATTCACTGGACTTGAACTTCTGAAATTTGAGTAAATAAACACACACACACTGAATGTGTATGAGCTTCTCACCCATTCGTCCTCCTCCGCTCCTTCTCCTTCTCCTCCGGGCTTGTGAGAGCCGCCCGTGTCTGTTTTGTTGGCCATAATCTTGTCTGTCCACGATGCTCCAGCCTTTTCATCTCCAGCAAAGTTACACTTGGTCACGGTGCCGCCATCCATTTTGGCGAGGGAGACTGGAGGCACAAAAGTAAGACAGCGAGTTTTATAGAGAAGATTTGAGAAGCAGACGGCTCAGTGTGCTTCAGATGTAAAGCAACAGACAAAACAGAGACATAAGAATAAAAGATAAATAAAAACCAGGCAGGTCTGAACAGGTGGGTGTTTTCAAATTTCTTTTTTCTCTCAGTTGTCAGTTTATTAGGGACACCTAGCTAAGACTAATACAACAGTCCTGCAGTAAATCCTCCTTCATGTGGCTCGTTGGTCTAGGGGTATGATTCTCGCTTCGGGTGCGAGAGGTCCCGGGTTCAAATCCCGGACGAGCCCGTTGTTTGGAATAATACAGTGACCGCTGCTGGAAAAAGCCCTCAAATATTTCCTATCACAATAGGATCTAATGTATGTTTCACTGACTTGTACAGGGCATTATGAGCTGAAGCGTTAGTGATGTCCCTCTCTCGTAAATTGCTTTGGATGAAAGTGTCTGCCAAATATAAATGAGGATTTTGTGGGGCCGTTGAACTGCACTGCTTTATGTTAACAGGCGTTCCTATTATTTTGTCTCTCCCGTTCAAACCGATGAGGGTAGGCAGAACGACAGGCGCACCTCTTTGAATAATACGGGTTCTGCACAAACTGATCATTTTTATAACCTTCACGAAGGAGGATTTATAGCAGGACTGTTGTTTTAGTGTACCTAATAAACTGACAACTGTCTGTTAATACAGTGGTTTGCGGTAACCTACCTGTAAAACATAACTGGCGAAAGAAGTGTGACCTGTGCACCTGCTGTGATGTTAGCTAGCTGCAGGATCTTTTGCTTCTGTCTGGTTTACTCAGCTAACATACAAGAGTTTACCACCTCCCTTATTTACATATAGACACAAAAATACAGAATTAAATTTAAAAAATATTAGTATAAATGAAAAATGATTTGTAGAAATGTAGAAATAAATTTGCATATATTTATTTATTCCCAAATTAATTCTCTCTTCTATCTATTAAAACTTACCTATTTATTAATTACAGCTTTATTTTGTGTGTTTTTTATTTCATGTATTAAATAACATGTTTTCTGCATTTATTTCTTTAAGTGATTATTAATTCATTTCTTTATTAACAAGTCATTTTTTTTCTCCATATACTGGTGGATTTGGATGTGGTACCCAATTAACTATAAGCAGTGTATAGTTCACACGACTATTGTGTGTTTTCTAAACCACAGTACAAAAAACAAAAGTGTGTTTTGGCATATTTCTACATAAAACTATTAGTGGTTTGTGGTTGAGCTGCAGATCGACCCAATAATAAATGATCTGTTTTTCAAACGTTTGAGAAAAACATATCAACATATCATATATAATATATGATAAATTTCTATAATTAACTCACTTGTCTACCTTTTAACAGCTTTGTCTTACTCTCCTCGGAGATTACAAAAACTTCAACTTCCCATCATGTCATAATGAATCCTGAAAGTGTGTAAAAGTATAGGGTGTGAAAGGATGTGAAAGGACCCAAAGCACTAAAGACTGACTATTGAATATCACAGGGCTGGATGACTCTTGTGAATATGAGGGAGGTCAAACTCTGTTCAGTCCCCTTGAGGTTACTTATGAAACTGTTAAAGAGGCCAGAAAAACAAAACTCAGGTTTAATTTAATTCCCTCCCCACTGCCACTGAGGTCAACGCTGGGACAAGCCTGATCAACGTGAAGACCACGAAAACCAAAAGGACCCATTTTAGGTAGTCAACACAAATTGGAGAGCTCTGACTAATCCTGTACTGCACTTTAACTAAAGCAGGGTTCAGACAGCAGAGTGATCTTCCCTTTTTAGGCTTAATGTGAATATGAGGACATAATGGACGCTGTACATGTACTGTTTTTCTGTTTTTCAATACCAAATATGTGGAAGCAGTTAAGCAGTAAAAACAGCATTTTAATACTGACTGACATATGAAAGGACTGTTTCCTCTGGTCTTCAGCCGAACGTCCTGTCCTGTCTCCAGCTCTGTCTTGTCCATCTCTGACTCCGGGTACCAGAAGGCCCAGGTACCGCCGGGTTTGTGCTTGTCACTTATTTTCACCAGCTCGGCTTTGTCCACCATCGCTGACAGCTGATCCTGAGACAGAAGGTCTGACTCCCCTTTGGCTTCCACCTCTGTATGGACAGAAGACGCACATCCAAGCAATCAAGAGTTCCTCTGCCGCAGACACACACAGACACAAAACTAATAAAAACTAGAATTAAGGCCTCGCGGTTGTCTGCCTGCGCCACTCCGACTGCTCAGATTACATCCCTGATTATGTGAAATTTTGTCACAATTGTTGTGTAAAGTCTGGAGTAATGGCTAAAAAGTATTTTCGGAGAACACCACACCCTTGACCTTTGACCTTTGAACCCCCAAAATCTGATCAGTTCATCTTTACGTCCAAGTGAAAAATTCCCTTGAGGAGTTCTGGATATATTGTGTTGTAAAAATACAACTCGACGTCAGCTCACAAGCTTCTTGACGTGTTTTCAACCATGTCACACGGTCTTCATCCAACAGCTACCGAGCTCCCATGTCTATAGTCATCTCCATGACAACTGATTAGGAATGTAAGTGGACCATGAAGTTGGGATTGTTGCATCAAATTTGAGAGAGATCTTGAATCTTTGCACTGAATGAGCTTTGGAATCATCATCGAAATCTTTGCTTGCTCTTATTTATTTTCATGTTTTTGTTTTGTTTTTTTTGTTTTTTTTTGTCAGTATCACACTGAGCTTCTGCAAAACATCAAATGTAATTCATTCATTCCTCGTTCTTCAACAGCCCTTCACACAGATTTGACTTTTCGCCTTTAAGTCCCTTACATTTATGATTCATGGATGCAGCTGCAATTCATAAATTTCTTCCTCTGAAAAACAGCTGACACTCAAAAGACTCAAAGTAAATCTTAAACAACAACTACATGGAGGACAAAACACTCAGAACAGAATTATGCTTGGGAAAGGAAAGGAAATATGCAAACATACACTCAAATGTTTGTTTTCTACTCACTGTAGGAAGACATGAGGAAGCCAGTGTTGACCTTTTTGGTGTCACTGAAGTTCGGCTCCATTTCCTTCCCCCTGGCATCAAACTTCCTCTGGTGGATGCGGCTGGGTTTTATGTACAGCACGTAGAAACGGACCTGCCAGTGAGAGGAAAGTGACATTTTCCGTTCTTTCTGTCTGAGTGTGTTTATGTTTAGTCTGTCCAAAACACAAACACTGATAAGGATTACTCTGAAGTTGTGTGACACCACACTGGAGAAGGGTGTTTCTTTTAAAGCATAAAGGGATGAAAAGCTTCTGTCAACGGTCTGAAGAAATCCTTATGACATTAACTTAATCATCAATTATTAGGTATTACTTTGCATTTACTTTGATAACAATGTGTTGACCTGTAAAAACAAATGAAAGATGCACCACATGCAGAAATGTTTCCTTATCATCCCCCGAATCAAAAGGAAACCAATACACACTCACAGCATGGGGAACTGAAAGACCAAACTAGCAACTGAATCTACAATACAGATACATTACAGAGAGTCTGTATATGTACACTTCGATTTTGCCTACTGTACCTTTTGATTATTGATATCACTGATTGCATGTCTGGAAACATCCAGCAACTTCCCCTCGAGAAGAACCCCCGGGCCGCTGTGTGACATCAAAAATATCAAAATATTAAAATTATTTTACTTCCATTTATAACTTCCCATACAGAAATATAATATTCGACACATATGTCCCTATATCGACAGTGATGTCTATATTATCACATATATACACCCTCTGGATATATGAAGATATGTTTATGACATATATGAAATACACCAAATAAATTTTGTATATGTACATATATTAAAAACATCTATGATGAATTGTTGCAACCATTTGTTAATGATATATATCTAATTTATATACATGATGTTTATCATACATACAAAATTTGTATATGCTTATATGTATTGTTTTTATTAATTTCTTATTAACTTTATTATACACTTTCATTCTGGGAAAGTGGTCTCAGTATATCAACATATACTGACAGGGTTTGGGGTGTCTACAATATAAACATATGTATGTCACATATTTGCCCATACAGTATTTGTATGGGCTAGATATATATGTCTACATATATTTTTTCCAATTTCATGTATAATTTTTATATATATGATTTTATTTTATAAGTACATGTATTTCATGTATGGGAATTCATTTGCGTATGGGTTGTTCACTTTAGTGTACTTAAACACATCATGGAGGGCGTAAACGAGCAGGAACTATACACACCAAAGTTGCACTCTTAATGAGATTAAGTGCTGATTGGTGATTTATTTGAACGCCGAATATCCAAGCAACAATTATGTCTTACAATAATAATGTCTAATATTTTGTACATTAGATCTTAAATGCTATAAATCATCGGGAAAGTAAAATGTCTGATTTTTCCATGGAGTTTGGTCCATTTAACACGGAACATAATGTATCACAGCGGGATACTGTAACATCCGAGGACCAGTGTTGCGTTCAAGTCTCTTCCCCCGTTGATATGTTCCCCCCCGAAAATTAACTTATCTTTACCACCCAGGGGGCGCTACGGGAAAATCAATTATAATGGGAGGTAAACACCGCGGAGGGACCAGACTCCCACACCAAAACGGTCACTTTTAGTCAGCAAACAGAAGCGTTTGGGCCCCTACCTTTCATACGTGGAGGGAGACCACTCGCGGTCAAATTTCTCATTGTGTACTGGTTTGTTCTGTAAAGACGTGTTGTGATAAATTCGGCTCATTTTTTCATTAAAGAAAATTGCCGTGTAACTTTCCCCTCTTCCGAAATTTTTCCTGTTTCCTGACTTCCTGGCCAATGTAGTCGCGTGAGAGAGGTGCGCTCGGTTTTTTCAAAGGCATGTGCCGACGTGTCACAGCTGTGCAAGAGATGCGGAGCTGAGATTTAAAGTTATCCCACACAGAAATGTAATATATGACGTATATGAACCTATATCAAGAGTGATATTGCCATATATGTCAAGGACATATATTATTATCACATATATACATCCTCTAGTAGTTTATATATTAATATGTATGAAAAGCCCATAATAAAGTGTGTATATTGTATTGAATTTTTATATGGTATACCATGTTGCAGCCATATCTGTTAATATACATTTAATTTATATGTCCAAGTTTATTAAAAAAAAACATATATATAAAAGTTAGATATTCTTATGTATGTTTTTCTTATTAATTTCACATTAATTTTAAACATGTCCATGTTCCCATTCTGTGAAAGTGGTCTCAGACTTTTAGAACCCGCTGTATATAATATCAACATACTGTATATTGACAGGCCTTGGGATAGATATATATTTATGTAACATGTGTCTATTTCAGCCAAGAAATAACATAACATAAAAACAGTGTCTGTTTGGGGCCCGCTATCACACCCCAATCATAGATGTCTATGAGTTGTTAGCATTCCCTCCAAAGACACATTTCCCCTCTAAACGTCTCACATAGCTTCATTAAAGTAATTATTTGAGGCAGTGAAAACTCTGGACAGAGCCATGCTAGCTGTTTCCCCTTGTTTACCCCCATTATTTCCTGTTTATACTACAGATAGCATAGTCTGAACAGTCCCAACCAATCCTAGAACGAGATCTGATCAGCCAGAATAATTAAAATCACCCCTGTGCTTACTACTAGTTTGCTTTGTCTTTAAATGAAAAGGAAACGGTGACTTCCATTTGAATGTCCTCACAGGGGACAAATAATTATTGTATGATTTGCAGTACTTTAGTCTTAAAAAGGTGTGTAAACTTTATTCCACAGATACAGTGGCCACCCATGTTTTAGGTGAATATATCATCCACTTATTCCATATGAACCGTTCCTTTTGAGGGCTGGTGTTGCAGACAATGACTGTGTGTATCGATGGTTTAACTCGTGTCCCTCTCACTTGTTTGGCAGAATCTGCATGTTTCCTCTGCATCTGGCTTCTCTCTCGAGGCAGTGCAGGAAGATGGGGCTTGGGTTTCTGAGCAGCCATATAAAAACATCTGAACTTGTGTTTAGGGCCTGGTGTGAGGTCCAGAGTCCAGATCAGTGGGGCTGCGGGGCCACATCCTGGTCCAATCAAGGTGTTTTTTAGCTGCTTCGGGAGCTTCCTCCTTGGCTTGGATCACAAGGTTTAACTTGTTATTCAGAAGAGCCTGTTACCAGTTTAATGTTCACAGTGAGGTCAGGTCCAGTCTGCATTTGTAAGTAAGTCTGCATCTAAAAAACAGAAGAGACTGTGAGACACTCCAGGTGCACTGTTCTGACAATCAAATCTTCATTGTTATGACTCACATCAACCAGATCATACATAGTTGATCCATGAGTTTGCCAAGGACCTTGAACTGTGATTCATAAAAACTCCTTGTGTTGAGAAAGAGTTTATTTTTTTACTTCAACTGTCAGTCTGTAATTCAGATTTACTGTAAATTCTCTTCATTCACCACTTTGAAAGGAATCTGTGATTCATTTCCCAATTTTCTTGTATACTTCAACAATCATTTGCTACTTTTCCCAGAAAGCTTTCCAATAGTGTCAAGACAATTTCCATCAACACATACATCCAAATGTTTTGTGAACCTGCTTCTTCTCTTCAGGGTTGTTGGGGGTGGGGATGAGGGGTGGGCTAATAGACTCCACTTTATTAAACCTTGTATTCTTTAGTTTTTGTACTCAACAAGTTAATATTTGAAGTGGTAGGATATAGCTTCTATAAGCAAAGGTTTTGTATTTTGTATCTGTAGCTGTGCTGGGGATCAAACTGAGATTCTCACCTTCAGAGATGATGGTCTGCTTCACTCCTCACAGTTTCTCCTAATGTCGGGCTGCTCTCCTCATTAATACCTAGAAACACACAAGTCAAATGAGATTAATTACCTTTCACTTTTACTTAAAGCTACAATGCAAGTTCTGGAAATCAAGCTAGCTCCAGCGTGAGACTTGAAAACAATACACTTGGTTTCTCCCACCCCTCCCTGCTTGAGGCCTCGGTGCAAGAGGTGCAAGGTGTCAACATTAAGATATGTTTTGGAGCATATTTTAATTGAAAAGTATTAGACTGTAAAAACCATTGGAATCTTTAGTTTTGTCTTATGATAATGAAATTATTTCAAACATCTTCACACATAAAAGATAAAATACTGTCTGTACTGAGGGAGTAGCGGCCTAGCTGGATATTGAGCCAGATGTTTCGTCGTTGAGTCCAGCCCCCCGGAGCCTCCACCTCATACAGACGGTCCCGATGTTCCTCATGCTGCTGCAGGAATCTCCTGCACACTGAACACACAGGAGACAATCACACTATTAAACAGGTTGCTGTGGAGTTAGCTAAAAAAAACTAAACAAAGAAGAGGCTTAATACACATCTGCAATGCATTCACAAACTTTCTTCCTAAAAATCAAAAACTGTTCTCCTCAGCTTTCAGACAGTCAATACCACCTGGGATCTCTGTGGGGGACTGTAAGGAAGTTTGGGAACTGAGATTAAAATGCCACAGCAGGACAAAACGACTTCATTTTCATATGGCATGAATTCAGCCAGTGCAACACTCTGACAACCAAAGACTGGAAATATGCAGAGTTCCTACAAACATAACTTACCCCTAAATAATAAAGTTAAAGAAAAAAACTAATTAATGGGCCTCAAGGGGGGAAGAAAAAAAGGAGAATAAAGTGGGACCGTAGCCGACCTGCAGCCATGCTGGGTGACAATGGAGAGCTGACTCCCACAAACTCTTCTGTGGAGAACGAGGAGCAGAAATCCTCCAGCATCTGAAGGCCCAAGCCTCTCCTCCTCCAGCTCCTCCTCACCAGCACTGTGTCCAAAACAGGCAGCAGGTAGCAGCGACCGCTCCAGCTGTCACACAGGCTGCCTGAAACACAAGCAGTGGAAGAGTTGTTTTAGAGAGGTGTTGATTCAACTGTATACAATCATTTTGGAGGATGTAGTGTGTGTGTGTGTGTGCGTGTGTGTGTGTGTGTGTGTGGGACCCCCCCCCCCCCAACATCACATTTGTCCTCTCCCACCCTCCCACTCTCCTCCTACCTTTGTGTTTGATAGTGTAGAAGCCGACCGCCTGGCTGTCTCTCCACAGCAGTTTGCAGCTCTCCGTGCGGGGATGCAGCGAGAACAGTGCCTCCTCCTGTGGAGACCTCTCCACTACCTGACTTAGCAGGAACACGATCACCCTCTCCATCATCGACCGCACCTGGGGACAACATGCCGAGTCAGGAAGCTCACCAGCACAGATGAAATCAAACGGTAACAGGTGACCATGCACATGGCTCTGGTAAAGATTAAATACAGTGAATATACTGTATAAAAAGTTAACTGCACCGATCATTGTTCGGAGGCAGTTTTGATTCAAAACCTTGATTTTTTTTTTCCTATGAATTTAGTAACATCATATGCACTTCAATATATTAATATTGTAATCACATTAGTTAGCTGGTATTTTGGGATTCATTTGTGTACTTTATGTCTTTTTAAACAAATACTTTTGTTCAAAGCCTTGACTTCAACAGGAAGCCTTTGAAAGAGTAGCAGAGGTATTTCTTTCCACACTGTTCAGACCTGTGTAGGAATCCTGATCTGTTTATCACTATGTTGTAGTGAAGCTGACACACAAACAGATGTAAAAATGCACAGTTACCGACACCAAGCCATTTCTGGATTTGCTGGAAGTTCGTGAAAGGTCATCCACACACCACCACTTCTCATGCAGGTATAAAGCCACCACTGAAAGGTAGACAAGAAAGCATTAGTCTCTGTACATACATTTATTCACACTTTATTAGCAACAACACATTAATACTGGGCAGAGCCTCCCTTTGCTCGCAAAACCGCCTCAATTCTTCATGACATGGATTTCACAAGATGTTTTTCCTTTGAGATTCTGCTCCATGTTGACATGATTGCATCACATCATTTCTACAGATTTGTCAGCTGCACATTCGTGCTGCCAATCTCCTCTTCTACCACATCCCCAAGATGTTCTACTGGATTCAGATCTGGTGACTGGGGAGGTCACTGAAGTTCACTGAACTCACTGTCATGTTAATGAAAACAGTTTGAGACCACTTTTGTTTTTGTGACATGGTGCATTATCCTGCTGGAAGTAGATATTAGAAGATGGTAAACTGTGTCTATAAAGAGATGCGCATGGTCAGTAGTAGTTATTAAGGAGCCCAAAGTGTGCCAAGAGAAAAAGAAAACATCCCCCACCACCTCCGGCCCCGGTCTGTCGACACAAGGCAGGTTGCGTCCATGGATTCATGCTGTCGACGATAAATTCTGACCTCGGTGACTCGGTGAGTGTCTGTCTATGTGTGTGTATATGAGGATGCAGTCTTAAACCTTGTGCTGGATCATCAGGAGGGTGAAGCGCCACCACTGCAAAGTCAGGTTGGTCATCTTCAAACAGCTGCAACCGCCTTACATTATTTGCTGTTATCCTCACCTGAGCAAACGGGAAGACAACTTTATATTTATGTCTACGTGCAACTGGAAATAGTAAAAACCACAATCATCAGTTATATGGTTATAAAAACAAGTTATGGTACCTTCAGTGTTTGTGACAATTCCAGCCACTCGTTATTATCACTAGGTCTTGACTCCAGAGATGAGAGGTACTTTTCAGAGGCTAGTGTCAGGTCAGTGTCACCCACATCTGGAAGGTCTACAGGGTACATGGCCTCTCATAGGGAACCCCCAGCTGTTTAAGGAGTAGATACACATTTACAACAGGTACAAAACATCAACAAAGAACAAATATCTTCCTTGACTTTATGGGTGCAATGACAGCAGTGGTGACTGGGGTACCTGACCAGTTTTCTCAAACAGAGCGAAACGTCCCTCCACCAGATTACGTTAAGGATTCTGGCAGTTTTAAACGTTTCCTTGCTCGTGCCAAAACAGAATAACAAGTAGCAGATAAGTAATTCTCTTTGGCAAGCTGTTAGTTCCTTATAGTAATATCGGTGCATCCGTTACAGTAACTGACGGAGGTGAACGTAGTTTAAGCTAAACATTAACTTTTTAAGTCACACCGTTCACAAAGTCCATTCACGATGTATGTCGGTAGGTTAGTTAATTAGGTAATGTTTCAAATCGAAATAATTTCACGTAATGGAAACTAGCTAAATTTGAATTTAAAAAGTTAATTTCGGTGATTCAGAAAAAAGGTTTTTGCGTGATAATATGTGATACCCATTAACACAGCAGCATTTAAATGACAGTTAACGTCTGACGCTCTGCTCATGGTGACGTAAGTGCAGCTACAGCTTTATGCACGTTAAAATGCTAACCTAGCAATGCTACCAAAAACACGTAAGGACAATACGCAGCCTCGCACAACGGTTACGCTTAATTTGGTAAGACGTCACAGTGAATTCACTTACTTTACGACTTCATGAGTTATGGAACAGCAGCCTCTCTGGTGTTGATAGAAGCCGTCAGCTCCACCTGTAACTTCCCTAACTTCTTTTTTTCCCTTTGACCTGCAGCGCCACCCTCTGCTAGGAAAGAGGCTCTACGCCATTTTTTTTCCTTCTCTGCTCTCTTTAGACCGGAAAAAGTAAGGTGGACTTCAAGATAAAAGCATGAGATTTGTCATTTAAAATATTCGAATATACAGACATTCAAACCTACTTTGATTTTACGTTCAGAGTGTTTGATAAAACAACAAGGCTTTTCTTTGTCATGTGCGTCAGTAAACTGAGTATCTTTGGGTTTTGGACTGCTGGTTAGATACATTTACATACATACATTTGAACATGCCAAATATTCTTATAGTTTGCATGTTTTCCTACTTTCTGACATATTCCAGACAAACTAATTAATCAGTTAATCAAGAAAATAATCTGCGTATTAATTGATCCTAGAAATAATTGTTAGTTGAAGCCCTACAGATTTTGTCAAATTTTTGTGAACCGACCTCTTAAACCCTGGTAATTATTACTTTACAGTGCAGCTAACATGGGACCCATATTTTTGATCAATTAATTCAGTACACACAATAGTATACAAAACATTAACCAACTTTAGATCAGATCAGATTGCTTCAATATATTTATTTCAGAAAGATCATATTAATGAAAAGAGCATGATCAAAGAGACATAGAATGTTATTTTATATACAGTGTGAACATTTTGTGTATAAACATAATTTTGCCTGAAACTGTGGGTTTCTTACAAACATCCCTTTGAATATTGTTAAAATTACTTTTCACCTGGGGGTAAATTGAGTCTGTTTTTCTAAAATATAACTCTCTTATGTCTCAACATTAACAGTGTTATTATCCATGTTAATACCTTTATTTTAAGTCATCTCCGACTGGATATTTATCACAGTGTATATGGAGAAGTGCTAGTTGTCGTTCCCTTTATTTCACTCAACAAAAAAGAAAAAAAAAAATACTGTAAATGAGTCAATAAATAAGATGTCATAAAAATAAAAATATAACCTTTCACTTATTTCGTATATATTGTGCATTATGACATATTCCTTACTGTTACCACCTATAAGAGATGAGTTGGCTGTTCCAGTGACTGTACAGGACAAATGAAGATAACTGCCAACTGATTATAGCCTACATGTAGAAAATACCAATTATGCTGTAAACAACAAATTGACTGAATGATTACAATAAACTCAGGGGTAAAGAAATGACACCAGTTATCTCTTCACAGGTTGTATGGGTATGAAATGTGGTCTGTTTACAATGAGTCTTCATCATTATGGAATGTCAGCTGTCACCCTGGCAACGGGTTCCGGTTTAGTAGTTAACGTTAGCGTAGCCTGCATATTAACAATGAACAATAAAATTCTAATGTCATTTCTTAACAAAACAAATATCAACAGCAAAAGCCATACTATGAAACAACTTAACCGGGTCCTGTCACTTCATATCTTACAACCGTTAACGTAGCGCACGTTACACTTGTGTGCTCTTACTTTGAAAAGCAGAAATGGCGGCGTCAGCAGGCGATCACTTGTTTTCCGATACTTGTCGATTTTCGTTCAGACCGGCAGGTTTGTCTCAAAGCTCTGTGTGTAAAACGCAAATTCACAAGACAAATAACAATTTATTAGAAAATGTTTGTTTAAAAGGTGTCAGTATTAGTAAGATACTCACTAATGCTTTTCATTTATTTGTAAATTAATTGAATGTATTCGGATGTTTTTTATTCATGGAATTTGTATATTTGCAGATCTGTTTTATATTTGCAAGATATTTTGGGAGTTTACAAAATATTTATATATTTTTTGTATTTGTGGAAGGTGTTTTATATTTAGAGATCACACATTTACACTCTGTCAATCTGTTCACACAAATGATAAAAATGCAAATCTACCTGCTAGAAGTGTCCTTAAGTGAAAAGGGGTTAAAAGGTTTTCTTATTATAATCCTTTTTCCCGAGACTGACGACTCCATAAAGTCCTCACTGAGCCATTAACTTTACTGTATATTAAATAAAAACTTGATCAAAACTCAATGAATACTGCAATCCCCAATTCTTCTTATTGCCCAGTAGTACTCAGACAGTTTTTAATGGCAGAAGTTAAAGTTAATTATTGATTTTTTGTCTATGCAGGAACAAAAAGCCTCTGAAATTAAGTCGACACTTGCTAAAATACCACCTGGCCCCAGATTTACTGTGTGGTACTTTATCACATTAATTATGTATATGTATCATATAAGCACAGAACTGAAATAGAGAAGGTCTTAAAACTACATTTTTTACACAGGGATCATTGTAAAGACAGGGTCTCAAGTCCTTGTTGTGTTAGTTGACAGTGATTTAGTGGTGCAAAACTATATCAGCACAAACCAGTTCAAGGTTTGGACCTTTTGGGACTCTCAGGTTCTCGGGGGCTTGTTGCCTGGTTAACCCTAAATAAAAAGAACAGCCTCTCATTCTCAATCGAGCTGCACGTATGGATATATTGTTTGGGTTTTCGCAAAGCTGCGGGACTAGTTACGTGCCGAAATTTCCATATGGAAGATGAATAAGACGAAAAAGTATGCAAAATAAAATGCTATTGCATTGCAGGCACATAACTATAAAATTCCTGAAGAAATTTTGCGCTTCTACAGCTCAGGACACAAAACTGTGATTCTTATTTCAGCTTCACTTTAGTTTCTATCTTGTTTGAAATGCTGTTTCTCATTTTTCTCCCAAAATTCACTAGACGACGACAACTTGAGACATAAGGAGATACCCTGCTGAACTCCATTCAGTGTTTTTAGTGGCTCCTTTTATTCTCCTTTGTAAATTAAATTGAGTGATACTAGAGCTGCTATGGAGCAACATGTGAGGCTACATGGGAAAGTGGTCTCATACTTATGGACACCACTGTATATAAACTAACACGATACTGAGAGGTGTTCCTAATATTTTGTCCATCCCATTTATAGGAATTAGATTTCACAAAATATTAGGAAGTTACAGTTACAATCACAGCCTATACAATGACCATTAAAATAAAGCAACACTTCTCAAACAGATTCAGTAAATACTGAACATTATAATCCTCATGAAGGAAGATTTACTGCAGGCCTGTTTCATTATACTTCATTAGTTTCATCCAGGTTCACCTAATACATATATATGAATTAAAACTAAAACTCAAGGACAATAACAAATGTTAAAACAAATCAAACCTTTATTTGAAGTTTACCCAATATACCGCAACGCTTAATAAAATGCATTCCTTTGAACAGAATGGGGATGGGGTTAATGGGGCAGAAATAAGTGACTGCTGATTGCCTTAAAAAGGTTCACTGTGTAACTGGTGCTAAACGTCCTGAACAGTCCGTCTCATCTTGTAACACCACTTTGTTCCACAAGAGGCGATAGTGAGTCACTGTAGCGCTATCAAACTTATCATATAACTTACTAATAGAACTTGAGGTTCAGGAGAAAAACTGATGACCTGTGATGTGATGGCCTTAGTTTTCTCAACCGATGCCCATCCATCCACTGCACCAACAGCACATGATGTGAGCGTGCAAGAATAATAAGAAAACACATTAATTCTTACATACAGTAACAGCATTGTGCCCAATGGAAACTATTTACAAACATTTTTACCAGGGAAACAGTCAACGGTCCAGTCTTTACACTGCGCAATCGTGAATGCAATTTAAGAATTATAATTAAACAAAGAAAAAAGAACTGTGCAGTAAATTAACAATGATTCAGCTTACCGTCTTTGTCATCTTTAAATATATATATACTTTTTCAGCCGTAGCCACTGTCCACTTACCTCTCAGCAGCAAACAGCAGACAGACACGGTCCGAAGAGCAGCTGCTGAACATAGTGGAGCATTAAGAAGCTAAAGAGACAGATTTCCCTCAGGAGCTGGTGGAGACCAAACACAGAGCTAAAAGAGAGGGAACACTGGACTGAGATCATCAATGAGACACCAGGTGACCCACCAACACCACTCCAACTGCAACAAATGAAATGTAATACTTATTAAAGAATTTCAATTAAAAATTATGAATGAAGATAGAAAAAAGTTTTCCTTCCTGTCTTCTCTTCATCTCTTCCCTCCACAGTCTTTCACCAACAGTCACACAGTGCGACCACACCTGCAATGTGAGTGAGGTCAGTGTCAAACTTCTGGGTTGGATGCACTTGCTGGAGGAGGCAGACCCCTGCTGGAGGGCCCAGGGCTGGCTCCTCCAGGGACACTGAAGTTAAAGGCTGTCCTTGTCCCACCTGTACCAATGAGTCTGGCCAGCACCTGAAACAACAAACACAACAGACTGTTTTAAGATTTCTTCAGCTTCCATTAAAAGATAAATCACAGAACAGATTACTACACACCAACAGCTTTATTGACAAAACTCTTACCACCTGAGTCAATTCAAAAGAGCTGGATGTTGGTTCTGAGCCATCAACCTCTGGCTGGCCAGCCACTGTCTCTCTAATGGCCACATAATCTTTTGAGAATGAATGACCACCCGAAGTCCTCCAGGGCCCTCTGACCACATGTGCTACTGGGTGAAGACGGCATGATTGCCAAATGGGCCTCCACCAGGCGGCTGAAGACAGCTGGAAAAGATAAGATCGAGAGCAGTGTGTGTTAATATAGATCTGATATGAGGAAACTGTGATATTTGAAGTTGAATCTCACCTTTAGAGACTCTCCTTCCCAGGACAGGAGGCGTTCTTCCCCGTCGCTGCCTTGACTGTCACCTGGGGCTGCCTCTCCTGGTATCTGGGAGGGAAGACAACTTGCTGTTCCTCCTGCTCTATCTGGCAGGTGATTGCCCAGAAGCTTGGAAGTACTTGGCACTGGCTTGAGGAAAAGGTTTTGGATCAAGTGAATTTTATGTTTGAATGAAATGTAATGCCATGCCATATACTTGATCACAACGCTATAGAGACACACGCATGTGACCTGAGGATGAGAGTGGTATAGGTGGAAAACCAGAAGGTTGACTCCGCCCTTTGGACCTGCCACGAGTCTCTGTGTACAGCTG